ATTTAAAATAAGATGTTTATCCTGTATTTGATTGTGTTTATCTGCAGTTAGTTACACGAATTCAGTTATGGGATGAAATCGGATAGGGATGAACGGGTTTAAGAGTTTTAAGAGTTTAAGAGTTTTTAAGAGTTTTAGTCAAATGCATTATAATATAGTATAGATATAGATAATAATAATTAAATTAGTAATTAATTTATTAATGGGTACAACCCTAGTCTATGTTACCCGGCCTTGGGACCCAGTTTAGCGTGAAATCACGGTCCGAGCGGGTGAACCAGGTTCCCCACCGGGTCAGAACAAATCACCATGCCTAATAGACTTCTCACGATTCTCATCATATTTATGATTCTCAAATGAACTCGTCAGAGGCTGCCATGTCCATATAAATGCACCAATTTGACAAACACTTGGAACACCCTCATCTAACAGCAAAATCAGACTTACATTCATATAAATGTACACCATCAATACATATTCATCTGTCATAAAAATGAACACAATTAAACTATAACCTGAATTGACATCTTATATTGAACCTGATCCAAAATGGTGCACCATGGTCCTCAACCTCTTTCACTGGTGAAACCATCTGCAATCAAGATTTCTAGCAAATAACAATTGTTTTTTAACCTTATCGTTGGTAACGATAACTATACGATGAATTATAATTATATTGTTGTTGTTGGTACCCTCCTCGGTATCCCGATGAGTTATTATGATACTGTTGTTGATGGTCGGATTCATTTGGGACGAACCCGTGTGATAACAAAGAATCTTGCAGCCGCCACCCTTCGGGTTCCTTTTGGAACTCGTTCGTTTGAATATAGTTTTCTAAACTCATCACGACCTTCGTCACTTTTGGATCTTCTCGCTCCTTTAATGCTTTGAGGAAGTCACGAGATATGATGTTTAACAGCTTCTTGAACTGGTTTTTGTATCTTCTATATAAACCGAACCCAGCCAACTGACAAGAAAAAGTGATGTATTCAACGATCAGCATGAAAATTGCAACAATTTTAATTTTTAGAATGCCCCATGTTCTACTCTTTACAGTAATTATAATAAGATGGTGAAATTCATCACTCTCTCTGTAATTAAGGGTAAAATCATAATTTGGTTAATTAAAAAGTGAAATAGTTACACATTCCTAAAAGTGTGCCTTTTTCATCAAGGACATTAAGGACCTGTTTGTTGACAGCTTAATGAGTTTAATAGGACTGACAGCTTATTCGGTCAGCTATACATGACGTTTGGTGGTGGCTTAAAAGATATAGAAAATGGCTTATTCAGTAAGCTTCTAAAGGGGAGCTTTATGCAGCAAGCCAAGTTTTTACCAAACCTGTCCCTACCAATTAAAATACACGTTTTATGCAGCAATCCAAGTTTTTTCCGAACCTGTCTCTCCCAGTTAAAAAACACGCACCTTCCATCTAAGAAAAAACCCTCCCAAACAAGCCTTCCCAATCTATAGAAACAATCCACACAGACAGCTTTATCCATATGGGATTTGATAGAAAACCAACCAAACAACCCCTTAATGTGGGACGGAGAGTTACAAATTTTGGCCCATGAAACTCTTATATTTTGTCATTTTTAGAGAGTATTTAGGACGTTTCACAAAAAAACAAACACTTTCATTGATTTGCATCCAATTCGACTGTGTGCATTTTTCATTGTTAGAGTGTATTTAGAATACTTCCATTTAATCCAACACGATTTTTTTGGGACCAAAGAAGCATATGCTGTCTACCGGTATACAATAGTCCCTCTATTTTGTCATCACACACTTTACACATTTGGCTAGTAATCACACTTTTTATTTAATTATGTGTACATTAAAATATAGTACTCTTTTCATCCGAAAACAAGTGTCCACATTTCCGTTTATGTTTGTCCCAAAAATAAGTGTGCAGTTTCAAAAATAGATAATTGATTCTCAAATCTACCCTTAATTAATGCACACATGTTTAAGAGTTGTGAAGAGAGAAAATAAATAAGGGTAAAGTTGTCATTTGGTTAATTAAAAAGTATAACAATCATGTATGTATATCTAAAATTGTGTCATTTCTATTGTGGACACTTATTTTGGGATTGAGGGAGTAATTATCATTAAAATACCATGGGAAAAGATAATATGGAGGTTCAAAAACCCTCCATAAAATTCAGAAGCATTCAGTGACTTGAAAGAAGCCAACTTAGCTTGTCAACTGTATTAGCTATAAGAATATGCAAAGACTTAAAAACTAAGGGATCGTTTACCAAACGCTCACCGGGTAAGTGCTAAGCGGCAAGTGTGATCACCCTCACTTACATTGTCGGGTAGCATTCCCAGCCATCAAAATGGATTGTAACAATCGTCTTTTACTCGGTAAGCGCTTACAGGGTAAGAGTTTTCTCCCTCACTTACCGAGTAAGATTCTTGATCCTTGTTATGCCTCTTACTGGGTAAGATTCTCGGTCCTTACCATGCCTACCGGTAAGTTAGATGACACTCGATAAATGCTTACTCGGTAAGAGTTTGGTAAACGACCCCTAAGTCATGATATCAACTCACCTCAACGAATGCCTGAAGTGCAACTGCAGTGTAAATATTCGCTGGGAGAGCATTTAAAAACCTGGCAAGCCATTTCCAACCTTCTTCAATTCCGTGCAAATTTTGGAAACCATCAACTTCAGTCTGAAAAGATTAAAAAAAAGATTATCTTATCAATTTAAGCAACAAGTATAAGATAACTTCTGCTTATAAGAAAGTTGAACAAATGATCAAAACCTGAACTAGAGCCCCGTATAGTTTCATATGTAGAGTTAACCTTGCTATATAACTATCGGTACTTTCAAGATTTCCATCTTCTTCTTGGTAACCAATAGCCTTGAAGTAAGCATCTTTAGATTCAAATGCAGCCTGGAAAAACAAGCAATTTTGTTCAATTAACATTTAAACATTTACATGTCGTACATAGTCATGAGGAGAATTTAAGATGTGATTTTGGGTCCCATTTAATTGACGAGAATATAGAGACGTGGCCCACAAAATGTAAAATGGAGAATGGAGGTAAAGGCTGTATGAAAAAATAAATTACAACAGAATTTTTTTGTCGAGAGAAGAGGCAGCAGTGCGAAATACAGAAAAGACGATATAAGAACAAATTATCTGAAGAAAATGATAACAATTTGGTGTTTTTTGGGTTTTTGTCTATGCCAAGTTCACGCTTTTTAAAAGTGTAACAGCAAAAAGATGTCGAACAATAAAAACTAAAACAAAATGAAACAAGAAAAAAGGAAAGGGAAAAGAAGTAATACAAATTAAACTTTACATGTTTAACACACTGCACAGGACATAACAGGGATCATTGTTCCACGTTTTGCAGGACTTCTATGTGAATAGACGTTTAAAGTAGAACAAGATTGAACAGGCTCGTTCCACCCCCACCCCACAGAACAAGATGGAACAAGGTGGAACAGACCTATATTTTACCAATATAACCTAAAAATAAAACTTAATTCTCTTCTAAAACATCATATACGCCTCCCTCTTTACATTTATTCATTCTTTCAATTTTATTTATTGTATTTTATGTTCTTTAAATTTCACTTTACTGCCTTCAAAATATTATTTTTGTACAATTTCCATATTTTGATTAATATGGAATTTATTAAATATTAATAACAAAAAATAATATAAAAAAGGTATAAAATAAAATTTGGAAACTACATAAACTTTTTATTTTGGTGTCATCTTAATCATCTTAAAGAAAGCTTTCTAGTGATATATTTTGCTATAAAAATATTTTTTTCATTATTAAATTTAATAAATTACATAAAATATATAATCAACGCATTAAGGGAAAATCGGCCATTTTATCTGTTTTGTCCTGTCCAAACGCTAAACAATTGTTATGTCCTGTCTGGATACCAAACGCACCCTAATAGAACATCCAAGTTCAAAATCACATTATACTGGAGCTTGTAGGAAGATTTAACAGGATATATACAATTACCTCTGAGTAACTTAAATACTTCGGAACTGTGAAGATGCAAACTCTGTTTAGTTTGGCAAGAAGAATTTCCATGGCATGGGGAACCTACATCCATGATGAAACACAAAGGCAACTAAGTTCAGTATTTCCGCTAGAATATGTATCCTACTACAATCATGTGAAAGTGCTTCCCAAACCACAATAAGTTGAAAATGAGCCTCCTTGATTTAGAAAATCAGCATAAAATTAACCCCAACTCAATATAGCATATCTTATTGAAGTTATGCCCCACTGAACTGGACTAACTAAATCTTAGGGACTGTTTGGTTGGTTTTTCGTTAAGTCCTGCATGGTTAAAGTTGTTTGTGTGAATTGATCTGTCTGTATAGATAGGGAAGGTTTTTGTTTGGGAGGATTATTTCATAGATGGAAGAAGCGTGTTTTTTGGGGAAAGGTCTGGAAATTTTTTGGCTTTTTGCATAAAGCTCCCCCCTAGAAGCTTACCAAATAAGCCACTTTCTATATCATCAAGCTACTACCAAACAGTCATGTATAGCTGACCGAATAAGCTGCGAGTTCTATTAAACTCATTAAGCTTTGCTAACAAACATGCCCTTAATTTGCTTCTCGAATTTGGTTCACGATCTTGTATTCCTTTCTTTCAAGTCAGATGCCTAGAAACAGCAACTGGAAGAGCAAAAAAGATATGATGCTTCACCTGTGAAGTAACCATAACAATGACATGCCCATAACCATATAGGACATTGTTGCTGCTTGCATTTGTGCTTTGGGAGACGACCTGTTATATTAGAACAAGAGTTGTTTAAGCATTTCAAAATATATATTATCTATGTGTGTGTGTGTGGAGAGAGAGAGTAGGATTTGTGGAACAAGAACTCAGTTTCTAGATATGCACCATAAATGGAGGTAAGAAAACTAAAGGAAGGAGATAAAAGTTGGTTTCTGAATTGAAGAAGAGTGACTTACTTTCTCTGCAAAAATCCCAATATTGACGGATTGGGGACATGTTGAATTCATGAGTTTCACCAATTCATCTGCTTTTGTTCTGGTCCAACATAAATAACAGTTAAATCTATATATGGTTCTCTAAAATGCATTTGAAAATCCAAGAACTATACAAAAGAAACGGGACTCGTTGATTGAATGCAGATGTTCAAGTGCTAAATAACAAAACCGGCTGCCATAGTCATCGGCTTATGTTAAAAAAGGGAATTCGCACACCTCACATTCTCTTTTGTCCCGGTTATGGTTTTGATACGTCTAGCCATTTGCATTCCATGACTACGATATTCCTGTTGAAAAGGCACCAATTGAGATTTTAAATGGAGAAGATTCATAATCAACCACTTAAGAAATGACGAACTCGTTAAACATGCATACTAAAAATATATATACAGACATATGACAATGGTCACAAAGTTACACTCCACCACGAGATGATCATCAGAAATTGGTTATTTGACAATCCACTAATTGTCTATTCTATGTGCAGATTCATACTCTGTGAACTTCTCCATCAATATATCCTTTAGTACTACATCAAAACACTTTTGAGTTCTTTAATGAATCGATGCATAAAAATAGCAAACTTATATTGGTTTAAAACAGGTACAGGCACCCAGATGTGTGATAACTTCAACTGTTAAGCATGCACAATTATCTTGTTTTAGTGGAATATAATGCACTTTTGTCTAGTTTTGACGTGAATTCAGGCAAATAGATTAATGCGAAAATGGACGTGATTGAAAAGTTAAGGGACCAAATAGAAACGAAAAGGAAAATTGTAAGAAAAGAAAAAGTTACAATAGAGTAATCCCATGACAAAAAAAAAACAGATAGTAACCCATTAAAGAAATCCTACTCCTTTCTAAGCAATCCTATGCTGGTATCAATGAGTGTAGCCTTATGTCAAGTACCTTACACCTCTATAAGCAGTGTAACCTTATGACTGTCAGAGTAGAATAACCTTACACGGTTATGTTGAGGACAAACTTTCAGGATTCATTCAGAATATATTTGGAAGGGATTTAGAACAAACGTATAAGAAATTATGCATAAAAGAACAATTTTGGAACTTCAAAGTATGTGATCTTATGACTTACCTTATTATAATCCATTTCAGAAGCCACATCTTTTCCAACCACTTCCTTGTACATTTGTAGCCTTCTCTCCTCCATTTTTAAAGCACTCTCGGCACCCTTGAGTATGTTTCCTGCAATCAACTCAATCAATTGTAAAGTAAGAAAAAAGAATTAACATATTTGCAACAGAACACTGCCTTTTCCATGGTCTCTTAACCTGTTTAATGTAACATAATGGCATTGGCAGTTATCAATATAGTTGGAAGGTTAGGAGAGGCATTAAAAACACCATGGCCGTATAAAAACGAAGTATATCATCAGATTCAGCTACAAGTCAACATGCACTCAGATATCAAGATTTAACAAAACTGAGCTATACAAATAGAATCACCTGCAGGTGTTTTTTTGGGTCCACCAGAATCAGATCCCTTGGAAACAGCTCCCTGTGAAGCAGTCATAGCTTCAGCAGCTTTTCGCTGACTTTCTGCCACAGCTGCTTCTTTTGCAGCTCTTTCAGCTTCTAATGCTGCGGCTTTTGCTTCTTCATCTCTCTTCTTTTCAGCTTGCCGCTTGGCCTGCACAAAAATATGGCAATCAAACAATTCTCGTTAGTAACAATATAACAGTCTCATTTCTTCTATTCGAGAGCATATAGCATACACACAACTCATGACATTTGTATGCCAGATCTGATGATAATTATTCCATATAACAGATTCTAGAAGCAACATGAAAAATAAACACATTTTGTACTTCCAATCTCCAAACATTCCGATTTGATTTTCATTAAGAGGATTGTCCAGTGTTTTTTCTTCTGGCCAAGTGTTACTCATGGTGTGGTTAAGTTTAGATTAGCGGCTTCATATTGAAAAACTAAATTAATCTCTTCGGCGTAAGATGAAAAAAATATTCAGAAAGCTCGCTTTAGTGCAATACAAGGATGTAATGTTCTCCCTTATGTACAACACAAATGCATACTCATTCTTCAGATGAATTCATAATTCTTTGAGCGAACAATCTTTAGAAAGGGCACACTAAGTTGCAACACAAGACATGTACATATGGTGTTTTAAACGAAGTTTTGAGTGCCTGGGGAAACCTTAATATGATGTTGTAAACGAGTCTTTTGAGTGCCATGGACATCAAAAAAGGTTGGGTTACGCTCAGGTGCATAAGTTAGTGACTTTTTTAAGCTTAAAGAAAGAAGGTCAAAACTCAAAACGCCCTTTATAGAAAGAAACTGTTCTTAAACAAAATTTTCATAACAATGCAGTCTAGTGAAAAAGTTCTCTCTCGTTATGCACCAAAATGTTACTCAATTGCTCAAGGATAAAGTGAACTGCAAACTACAGGTACGAAAACTAAGCTTGGAGATACTCAAGCTAAGTTATTGCTTCTTTACATTTTAAGCTCAGAAATTATTAAGCGATTGATATGACAGAGCACAGGCTGATTCTTCATGAATATAGGAAAAATCATTCAAATGGGTATCTTTTACAAACCTCTTCTGCTTTCATTTTTTCTTGACGCACTTTTTCTTCTTGAAGAGCCTTTTGCTTTCTTTTGGCCTCTTCAATTGCAGCATCGTCTCTTATCTTTTTTTCTTCTATCTGAGATTTGTATTCATGATGCCTTTGAACGTCGGTCAGATGATTATCAAGTGCTTCTGCACTACAGATATAAAAGGAATATCAATATGCTAACAAGCTCAAAAGTTCAATAAAACCGCAACACAAAACTTGCAAACAGAACGCGGTCCAATTTAACAGAACACATTTAACGCCTTACATTATGCGCTGATATTGCAAATCACGTTTTCTATCCAACTCACGTCGTGCCTCCTTGCTCTTTTCAGCTCGGGAAAGGGCATTGGTAAGTTTCTCTTTTTCATTTGTGAGATCAGTTCCAAATGCAGATATTCGGGTTCTTATATCTTCCTGTTTATTAGAGGTATTAGAAGAACAAATTTATTGAGAAGAGACTGTGAAAACCAAAAGAGAAAGAAACAAAGAATCAAAAGTAAGATGGGTAAGCAGCAACATAGATCAAAGACAGACCGCAACAGTAATCTGGTGTTCATGGCTTAGCTCAATTAATGCACCTTCAATAACTCCCCCTTTGTCCATCAAAGACCATTGGGCTCCAGTAGTTGACTCATTATCAGAATCTGCATCATCACTGGAAAACATTTACTTGTCAGTGTCATCAATGTAGGAGTGGAAAAGCTTGCCACCATCCATATTTCAAACCAAGCATGTAGTCTACTTCTGAAATATTGTTTGCTTTCTTTCAACGACTAAATATTGATTTAAGTTATGTAACACAAACAACTGAAACAGTAAATGACCAGAACTGGCACCTTAAATATACTTCCTCGCAAGCAAACCGACCACCCATGGCCAGAGGTCTGCTATAATTCCCCTCATCATCATAGTCACCTTCATCATCCGATACATGCATCACAAAGGACTTCCGGTTTTTTCCAGCATGACTTACTACTGAAAGATCACTGCAAGAAGGAATCTGCTGGATGAAGATAATAAAAGAGAAAACCATTCATAACAACTTGAAGGGAACTCGGATGGATTTTCTAATAATACAAAATGGGAGAACATGGTACCTTGAATGTGTTTTGGTGAAAGGTAAGGAGACCAATGAGGATGCTTGAAGTCTGTGATCTACGGCATTAAGCTCTGATAGGAGTTCATCAAAACTCCAATCAATTTGTGGATCAGCTACGATTCCACCAACACGTTGGGGGCAACGAAGTTCCAATTTTACACCTCCCCTGGTCATTAAAACATTAGAAAGTTGATGAACCTCGCCACTGAACTTCTCATAATAGGACAGGTGGTATTAGAGCAATTCAAAAAAAATGCATACCATTGCTACAAATAATATAGACATTCGTTCTGGGTATTCAGAAAAAAAAAACCCATAAAATTGTCAACAACGTTATTCTTTTTGGGAGGAGGGGAAGAGATAATCCAGGGAGATCATAATCTTCACTAACAGATTAGTATAACAGCTGATAAACATAAGAATCGAATAGAACATATTCGATTCCACTAAGATCCTTGAGAGCTTTCTGAATTTCCCAGTCTTATGGATATCCAGCACTAGGACCTGCATAATGTATTATCGGTCCCAGGTAAATAAATGAAAGAGGATTGGATAAAAAAGGACTTACATGATTCAAATAAGGAGTTAACCAGTCTATCAAAGTAGTTGCGTCCTCTTTGTTATATAAGAAGTTATATGTATCTGGCCAACAAGTGTAGAACTGAGTGTTAGAATCACATCATACAACTAACATGACTACAATAAATAGCTGTAAAATACATTTGGATATGAACCTCAAGACAATAACATACACACACAAAAAACACGTTTACATAGATGATAACAAGTAACCAAACACCCAAGCCCACGAAGCAGGGAAATGATGATAACAAAGTAATAAGATGTGGTTTCTTTTATTTGACTTCTTTGATGAAATTTGACAAGGTAATAAGATGTGGTTTCAATCTGTTTGTTCAACGGGTCTTCAAGACCAATTATTCCCTAGTGTTAGAACAGCTCAATCAGGATATTGTAACTTCAATATTAAGATTTCTCTCCAATTTGATTAGCTCCTTCTTGTTTAGTTTTTCTTCCCTGGAATCAAACAATTAAACGCTCACAAGTCTTGTGGCTTCTATCATTCTTTCTGGTGCTATATATAAATAAATGCAAATATGTTTGACATGTTATTCAATTTTAAATGGCTAAATGGAAACTGAGACTAAATAATTTAATCCAATTTGACGCTTCTTCAGTGTGAAATTTGTTAACTCTGAGTGAATCCCTAAAATAAGGGTTTCTTGCTGAGAACTACTGAAACCTAAAGCATATGCAGCCAGGATTTCCAAAGAATGGCGTGGGAGCCGCCACTGAAAGGCTCAAGGCTTTAAAGAATTAATATCAGGCTCAAGGGAAAGAGTAGCAACCAGTAAACTATCTGCAGATGTCTAACGTGTACTAAAAGGCATATGATAAGGCTGGATAATACAATTCAAAAATTCTAAACCGTAGCGGCAACTCCCAATCTTGATTTTCTGGTAAACTGACATACAAATGGTTCTAACATTCATGTTTTTGATTACCCCAAAAAACCAAAATTGAATTACAGATTAAGAGTCAAGAGAGTTACTTATTCTTAGTAGGAGAAAAAGGACATCTGAGAAAAGAGAAGTTCCCGCATTCCAATAGACACCAATGAATAATTCGTCAGAACTGCCTTTTTTCCCCTTTGTTTCTCAACTGACATCAATGTGAGTCTTTAGCCGGAAGACTTTGCAAAGCCTAGCTGATGATCTAAGTTTTGTAATTCAGATGTAGACATGTAGTACGGTTTTGAACTGCCATTTTTTACAAGAGGCTGAATGATAAAAGTTGAATAACCTTATCACAACTTGCTCTAAAAATTACTTTGAATATTATTAGACAATGCAGCCAATAAAACATCAACATAACAAAATGAATAGGCGAATACAATTATCAATTTGACGAATTTGCTAGTAGCTTATTATAAACTTATTCCTAGCTGTCTTTTGTATTTAAGTTTCACCAGATTGTTTTGTATCTACAACAATAAAAATCTAACATAAATACATTCAAAGAAATCCGATAGCCTAAAAATACCATCACCATGAACAAGCATCAAGCATCAAGCACCAAATTGCCACTAATTTTAACTACAAAAGTCAACCCAAACGAATGAAAAACAAAAGAACAACCAACTTCAGAAAGAAAAAAAAAAGAGGAGTGAACTAAAGGAATTACCAATTGACGATTCTAATTGAAATGTAAACCTACCTTTGGAATCAAAATCACCAAGCAAATCATCAATCAGGCTCTCTAGTCGATCTTTGTACAAAGAGCCTAAACGGCAAGAGAAAAGATAAAACCCGAACATGGAGAAAACAAATTAAAATCAAACAGCGACAAGATAGAAACCCTAATTCGAAAAACTGAAAGAGACAAACCCAGAGTCGTTACCTGTGGATTCTTGAAGGAATTGTTGAAGAAGATGAATGAATATAAAATCTATGCGGCTGCCTGAATCAAGACATGAAAGCAGGGCAAAGGCAGTTAACGACGACAGGATCTCAAAACCCTGGTGTTGTTATGCAATCAAACGGGTTTAACGGTCATAATGAGCGTATTAGAGCGGTTCACCTGTTAGAATGAATTAATGGCTTCAGGGGTGAATTATGGCACCATAGTTCATTTAAAATATTTAGTGTTTTTTTTTTTTTTAAATTACAATGTAAAATGAAATATAATTGTTTATAATAAATTTAGGGCACTGAATGGTTAAGGAATGATCAAGATACAAAATCATTCAAGGGTTAAGATATAAAATCATTCAAGGGGTTTTAGAACAATTAAAAAGCATACTTTTTTTTTATCAAATAAGATTCACTCCTTAACGATTCAAATATTACATCTTAATAAAACTATTAAGAGGTAAACAAACAAACCATTAATTTTGTGGTTTTTTTTAAGTTTTCTTGTAAAGTCATCTTATTCAATTTCATACATCTAAATTAAATCGGTTAGTTTTTGGATAACGTTCCAAATCATCCATTGAATGGTCGGGGCGGGTCCGCCTAAATGCATTGGATTTCAGCTAATAAACACTCGTGGTTTTGTCATTCATAAATTTTGTTCGATTTAAAAAAAAATACAAAAAATCATCAAACTGTGTTGAATTCATGCCAAAATATAAAATTTTATTTCTATCATTCAGACGGATAACTTAACAAAAGAAATAGTAAAACAATTTTATCCAGATAGACAACTCAACTAATACAATGATACAAGATTTACTGGAAATTTTGGTAAATAGCCATAGAGTCTTGCTTTTGAAAATAAATGAACGGACATGAATATTATGAAATATCGGACAAATCCATTCAATGATTCAATCTGATAATATTTTTGTTATAAATATTGCTTAACTGATTAAAATTTGTACGAGTTCCTAATTCTTGTGTACTTGATTCTTTTCCTAAAAACATGACAATCTTAAATCTCAAAATAAAAGGGTATTTTTCCCTCATAATGGTCATATCCCTAGTCGTCATTGGTGTGCTAGTTATGTTTTTTTTAATATAATTCCGTTTGGTTGGTTTTTTCATTAAGTCGTGTATGAATAAAGCTGTCTGTTTGAATTAATCTGTTTGTATAGATTGAAAATGTTTTGATTTGCAAGAGCTTTTTCATATATAAAAGGAACATGTTTCTAAATTTGGAAGAATATGTTTGGATCAACTTGGTTTGCTGTCTAAAACTCCCCCCCTTCCCCCCCTAAAATTTCACTGAATAAACACTATCAAAATAGTTATGTGTAGCTAACCGAATAAGTTATGAGTTTCGTTAAACTTATTAAGCTGCTAAAAGATTGACTGTAAGTCTTTTTAGTTTGGGAAAAAATATGTATTATAAATTGTTTTTATTTTATAATAGTACTGTATTTTAAGATCACTATTTAGGCGTAGTGGGACATGAATAAATCTATCTGGTTTATAAGAGCATCAATAGTAATGAACCGTGACCTTTTTTTTCACATCAGTTTTATTTCTCCTGCACATTTTATAGACCTTTCACGTCCAATTATGGACCAATCCATGGTTTATATAATAAAAACTATAATAATATAAAATTATAATGGTTATTCTAACTAAATGACAATAATTAAAAACTAATTACAATAATTAAAAACTAATTACAATAATAAAAGTCACAGTAATTAAAAACTACACTAATTAAAAATCAACTTCAATAAATCTACATTAATCTTTCATAAACCGTTTTTCTGAATATGTTCGACAAAATCTGCTCGAAGTTGATAATATACTGAACGATCACATAGTTTAATATTTATTTGAAAGTTATCATTGAAATCGTTGAATTGAACCTTAAGATAGGGTAAAGAAGTAACGAGTTGAAGATCGAAAGAGGTAATTTAAAGTGATGTAGGTAAAAAAGGATTGTAACTAATTTGTATAGATAGAATTTGGTAATCAATTAAATTTATTTTTTTGAAATGATTTATATATTAAAAATATATATACAGTGAAATTAAAGATGCATGACAAAGGGGCAGGAATAGGGTGGGTTTTGTAATCCCCGACCCCGGTTTCTAGTAACAACACCCGGCCCAACGGATACGGGGATTAACATCTCGTCTCCCGTCAAACTCAGGTCAAACCTCAATCCCCGGTCCACGACTCAAGACCCGTTCTCCGATAAGGTGCAGTCTCATGTGTTCCTAATACAAATACTCTTGAAGTCCAACAATAACAGAGACCCATTATCAAAATTTATAAAGTCCAAATACTTACTAAATGAATATTACTATATCGGGTATGGAGCGGGTTGGGAATACAATACCTGGCCCTAGGCCCAACCCCGGTTTGAGTCTACCGGGGATCCCTGACCCCGGGACCTGTTTTAGCGGGGAATCCCCGTTCCCTTCCGGGTCGAATGAGTCGGGTTCCCACCGGGTCGGACCAAATCACCACTCTTAATGTCAAGTTCATAATAATTAAATATTTAATATATGGAGCGGTCGATAACTGCTCCGGATGACGTGACATAAACCTCTACGAACCCAAGGGAATGGACTTTTCAAAACAGGTCCATAGACTTTGTGAGGATGACCATTATGGATGCTCTGGTTGAGCAAGTTATCGATCTCTTAGAAATATTTGAGTTTGTTAAGTAATGTTATCAAACACAAAATTTATATTTAATTTGGGTTGTGTATTGTACAACCTGCAACTCATCTTTATAAAATTCCTTAAAAAATTACAATGTTTTTTAATTACATTTTATAAAAAATATATATTTTTTAAAGAATCATAGTATATTAACTTAAGTTATACAACTATCTGTTAAAAATTGACATTTTAGTAACTAAGGTTTAGAAATTATAGTTTTTGTTTATATAGTTTGTAATATAATGTTGTTTTCGTTGTTATGAATTAAAAATTTATTATTGTTTTGGTCCCTTGTAGTTTAAGGTAGGATTTAGTCCAAGTATGAAAATCGCGCAATTTAAACTACAAGGACAAAAATCAAAATTATTAACAAATCACAAGAATGAAAATCATAATTTAGGAGCTGTTTACCAAACAATTATCCATGATTATCAAATCATATTACCTTATCGGATAAAGATGACAAAAATCTAAAAATCTTACCCAACAAAAGCAAACACATGGACCGAAAAATTTACCCGATAAGTGAAAACGACGACTGTTACCACGGTTGACATTTACCAGGTAATTGTTACACACGATACCATTTTGATGGACTTAAAACTTACCTGATAAGTAAGTGATAGTGATGAATTTCATCGATAAACATTTACCCGGATAAACACACAGTAAATAGCCCCTTATTTATTTTTTATGTCAGTGTATTTTTATCTATACTAACTTATAAACCATATTTATTACCTCTTAATATCTTTAAATTCTGATTCATTCAGATGTTTAAGTATTATGAGCGTTTGTTTTATTTTTAAAATAAGAGCTTAAAAACGCTAAGGCCTTGTTTGTTTTTATAAAAAAACCACTTAATACCTCTTATGTCTGAATCGGTCAGACCTTAAGGTATTAAGTGCGTTTGTTTTTTTTAATTAAGAGCTGAATTTGTCTGAATCATTTAGATGTAAATTAAAGTCTGAAAACCTCTTATTTTGGATTCGCCTAACTCGTGCATCCTTCTCTCAAGCTCTAACTCGTCTCTCTCAAGCCCTCGATTTCTCATTCAAGCTCTCGATCTCTCTCTCTCAAGCTCTCGACTACCATCTTCTACCTCTCGGTCTCTCGATTTAAGGTATCCATCTCGATCTCTCAAGCTCTCTATCTCTCGATTTAAGGTATCCATCTCGATCTCTCAAGCTCTCTATCTCTCGATTTAAGGTATCCATCTTGATCTCTCAAGCTCTCTATCCATCTCGATCTCTCAAGCTCTCTATCTCTCGATTTTCTTTCTGTTTTGCCTGGTTCAAAAAAGGGTTTAGGGTTTACCTTCTATAAGGGGTTTTTGGTAAGAGACTATGATCCAAAATGTGGTTCTTTGTTAACTTCTTATTTGATTTATGTTTTGGTTCTTGTTTGATCATTGTCAAAGGTTATAACAAACAGCCTATCAAAAGGGTTCTTGTTTGATCACTGTCAAACAGCCTTAACAGTCCCTATGTTTGATCACTGTCAAAACAGCCTTAAAATTCCACCGAAATTTGGAACGGATTTGGTATCTGGAGGTTTTATGTGCGTATGAAGTATTTGGAAATTAGGAATCGAATTTCGAATTGTTTCRTTAATGTTTATGATTGATTTCAGATACTTTTAGTGCTAGATATGTTGTTGATCARCTTTTTAGTATGGATCGTTTACCCWGTGTTATATAATTTTGTGGATATATTAAGATGGACTTGCTCTGTTATTGTTCTTGATTTGATCGTATCACTTTGAATATCGTTTGGTTTATTTCGAAGCAAGCTTTTTATTCAGATCAAAAATATTGAAAGCTAGTTGTTGGATGGGCTTGAATGATTTAAAACCCACGCAATAGATTTGAGATCATCAAAAATATTGAAAGCTGATTCAGATTTCAGACGTAAAAACAAACAGTCTGACTGATTCAGATTTCAGATTTCAGACGTAAAAACAAACAGTCTGACTGATTCAGATTTCAGACTTCAGCACCACCTCTTAAAATTCAGAAGTGAATTCAAACTTCAGACTTAAGTACCTCTTAAAAAACAAACGCCACCTAAATGTTCTCTGAAATTTTAAATAATAAACGTATCCCTCAATACCTCTTAATCCTAACCCGTCCGCTATCAAACATGAAAAAATATAAAGTTTGGGGACCCAAATGAAAGTTTTAAAAAAACCAGGGACCAAAACTGGTAATCGAGCATCTTTTTATTAGGTCAATTGCCGGAGCCAGATATAGTTAAAGGGTATTTCGGTAATTGCAGCAAGAAAATAGGGTTTATCGTTTGGGCATGAGCCCCTGTGCGCCTATAAAAGCCACACCTTGAAGAAACCCTTGGCATCGCTCCTTCATGGAGTCTTCATGCCTAACGCAGCTGCCGACGCCGCCGCTGCCAGTGCTGCTATCGGACGGTAAGAGATTCAGATGTGTTTATCTCTTTTAGATTTTGTGTACGTGTGTTTGCCGTTGCTTTTGATAGGCGTTACGTTTGCCGGTACCCGGCGGACGTGTCAACGAAAGCATAAATTAAAACTTCAATCGCCACCGGATTTTATCCGTTTTTATCGTAACATCTACAATTTTACTTGTAGATTGTTCGCTTTGTGGTTTTTGAAACATTCTCACTTTTTTATGGCAAATGCACAATCACCGTAATAAGTTCGTTACGATTTTGTTGTAGTATTGATTTTGTTGCTTCATAATGGTGAACTCTCTCAATATTAAATGGGAGAAATTCAAGTTTCCGGAGCATAAATTGAATATTTATATCGCCAGTATTAAACAGCTCGATGTGTATACAATCACATCGACGTTACCTGTCTCCTGGCACATTTATTCTTCATAAGTGAAATTATTTTCGAATCAAAATTTATCGATTTTTACATGCGACTGTTGGACGAAGATCTAATTTTGTAGTCCAGATTAGAAGTCAGTGAATGATGAGTAATTAGTTGTAGTTCATGATCATTTGCGCTGCGCATAGCCGCATACATTTGTGGATTTTTTTGAGGAGTTCATTAGGAGTTTGAAGATCCTAATCAATTGATCGGTGCATACAATCAGTTACTAGATTGAACTAATGGTGAAGAATTAACATAACATTATGCTTAAATGATGAACCGTACACAAGTCATGTTAGAGAAGATTCGCCACTAAATTAACATAACTAATGGTTAAGAATTAACATAACTAATGGTGAAGAATTAACATAACATAATGTTTGTCAAAACAGCTGGTTTGGTAATGAACCAAAACTCGCTCTGTTGACGAGGTCATCCCAAATTTTATGGAGATCTTGTTACAATCGCATTATAACCATATAACTAAGAAAAGTATACAATTCCATATCATGTTAATAGTCTTAAAAATTAAAACAACAAATATAGTTTTGATAGACATACTTTTAAATTAAATAGTTTTTGATTTATAAAATTTCGATTGGTTATTTGTTGAGTTGGGTTCACTGGTTAGGCTATATATATGAACATGGTGGTGCTTTTCGGCGGCGATCGGTGGTTGTCATTGGTGATAGGGGGTTGTGGTAAATCCACACAGGGTTTCAGGTTTCCATTTGGAAGCGTAAGTGGTGATGATGAAACCAAATAATATATATTTAACAATGAATATACAAATGTATTTAACATACATTGACGGGTCTACGTTAATTTAGGATTAAAATGGTTGAGTGACCGAGTGTTTGTAATACATACTACATATTAATAGTTAGTAGCAAAAAATTAGAAGACAAGATGTCCATAACTTAGATTTAGTTAAAATAAAATTAGATAGCAAAATGCTAAAAAATCAAAAATAAAAGACAAACGAGTAGCAAATTGTAAATCAAAATAACAAATTAAAGTATCCTAAATAAAATAACAATTAAGAAAGAGACAATTAATAATTAACATATAATATTAATTATAAATCTATAAAACAATAAAATGCAAAAAGAAAGTTGGAAAAAATCGAAGTAGTGATTAATCAAATTATTAGCATTATAGCAAACAAAATAAGAAAAATGAAATGATTTTCAATAAATTGAGACTTGGAACTTAAAGAGTGTTTAATTGATCCTTAAATAATGACTTGTTGAAGTAAGAGTTATAAATAAAATGTATAAATTTAGATTTGGAGCCTTATGTCGAGGGCCTGTTAATAATTTTTGGTTAAAAGAATAATTAAAACTTATTGCTCATGCTTTATTTTGGTGTTTATTGGGGATTTGGGGTTAGTTTGTTGGTGGCCTGTACCCCCTACCCCTTTAGTGTGCATCCGCCACGGCTTCTTGAGTCTAATCTTCACAAGTTCTCAAATCGAAAAACAAATATCTCGTATATTTGTATCCTTGTGAGACTCTGAGTAGTTGTCGTTAAACACTACAAGATAACTATATATTTCATAGCCAGTACAATTAAGTTATAGCCAGGAACCTGTAGCCAAACTGTCGGTTATTGCCATTCCTCTTACCGAGTAAGTTGGTCATTGACATGTTAATCTTGTATCGTAAGGGTGCGTTTGGTACGTTGGACAGGGTGGGACAGGACAGGACAGAACACAATTGTCCTATGTTTGGTGTGGCCTTATGTGGGACTCACTAGAACTAGCTAGAACACGGGTGGGACAAGCCTGTCCACCCTTACCCCCCTGGAACTAACTAGAACAGGAAATATTTTACCTATCTACCCTCTCAAAACCCTTCTTCGCTTCCACCGCATACTTCAATCGGCGGTATCGATTTCAATCGGCCGTATCGATTTCAATCGATTTCAATCGACACCCTTCGTTCCCCTTCACAAAGGCGTCGATTGCATCGATTGCTGTTTCTATCGATTTCAAAGGCGTCGATTGCATCGATTGCTGTTTCTATCGATTTCAAAGGTGTCGATTGCATCAATTGCTGTTTATATCGATTGCATCGATTGCTGGTTTCAATCGTTCCCCTTCACAAAGGCGTCGATTGCTGGACATAATCATTCCCCTTTTGTATCGATTGCATCTGTTTGTTGTTTCTATCGATTGCACTTTGTTTGCTGTTTTTGTATCGATTGCATATGTTTGCTGTTTTTGATACGATTGCATTTACAAACCCAGACAACAAGCTCATTTTGGTAATCTGCAGCAATAGGAACTACTTTTGTAAGATTGTTCATCAGATCTCCTTCGATTTCATTTTAGGGTTTTAATCGAAATTGTCAGTGACTGTAAAATTGATTGAAGTTGAAGATTTTAGGGTTTCGAATCCGATGTCGTTTCTCAAGTGGGTTTAGGAGTATGGTAGACTAATTTGATCATGGTGGTTAGAATTCTGGGATTGACTCATTGGGGGTAAATTAGTCAATTTAACCAGTTCTGTCCAGTCCTATCATGTCTTACCAAACGCTGAACAGCTGTCCTGTCCTGTTCTGTCATGTCCTGTCCCGTCCTGTCCCGTTCTATCCTGTCCGCATACCAAACGCACCCTAAGTGACTCATATGCGTTTGCCTGATAAACATATAGTAAATGGCCTCTGAAGTTGTGTTCTTGAAACTTTTTTACAAAGGAAAGAAAAGAGGAAGAAAGTAAAGAAAAACTCGTGTTCTTGAAAAAAAAAGTTAGGAGAGAAAGGAAAATAATGATAAATTTCCAACCAAAACTTTTATCTTAAAAATAGGATGAAATGGAAGGAAATGAAAAAAATTAAAATATTCTTAAAAATTATTGAAATTATGAAACTATCGAACCTTTCATTTAAAAAAAATACCTTTAAGGATATATTAGTAAAACAACATATTTTGGTATTTCCCTTTTCTTTTCTTGTCTTCTGGAACATGGATTTTTTTTTTTCTATGTTTCGGAGAATACAAATAAAAAATTAGTAAATCATGTTTTTAGTTCCTATAGTTTGCTGAAAATTTATATTTTGTATTTATAGTTTTGAAATTAAGATTTCATCCCTGCAATTTATAATTAATTACTTTACTTCGTATTTATGATTTAAAACTTATATTTATGATTTAAAACTAATTGTTTTTTCGTCATTTTATGCTTTAAAATTTATTTATATTTTACTCATTTATACTTTTCGGGAATGAAAATAGATATGAACTATAAACTATAAGATGAAAATCAAAATTTTAAAATCACATGTACAAAATACATAACTTTTAACAAACTATAATGAAAAAAAAAACATAATTTAATCAGCTGAAAAGCAATGGGGTTCTTTATTCTTTTGATGTCATGAACAAAGTTAAGACTATGTTTAACGGCAATCCCAATATTTGGATTGTGAATAGGACAAAATAAGGTTTAAAAAAAGAAAAAAAAAAAACAATTAAAAAGCCCTATCTCAACTGAGGTTGTATCTTTTCCATCCCATTTCATTTGTCACGTAACACATTATCAGGTCAATATTATATTTTTATTTTATAAACCTTATATGATAAAAAAAAATGTTTTTAACAAAAAAATTAATAAAATGTATCAAAATTCATGGTTTTTGATTCCATATAAACAGAGCATAATATTGACATATTTTTATCGTAACAATCTTTCTCTTCATTTCAATATCCTCATTATCTTGCAAAAGTTTTAGTTTCTTTCTTTGGTCGCTTTCCAAATTCGGTCTTGATAATTAACTACGATTATTTATGTATTTCAAATATGTAATTTTGTACTTATTTTTGTGATTTTTTTATTTAATTTTAATTGTATGATAAGTTTTTTTATACATAATTATGATCATGTTTTAAAATATTTAACATATAATTTTTATAAATTAATATTTTAAATCAGATTGAATCACAGTTAAATAAAAAAAAAAAGTGATATAGGTTGAAGTTGAAAATTGTACAGGTAGATAAAGATAAAAAACTATTTTAATTAGAGTTGAAAGGGGTTATGAATGAAAAGTTTCTAGACACAATACCAGCTCATGTGATCCGTGTAAGAATGTCAATTGCTAATGGTTGAGCAGTCTGTGTTGTTGTGTACAGGAACTTAAACTATTGATTTACAAGCTTTTTTGGGACTCATATGTGTTGCAGCTTTATGAGAGAGTGGTAGGAACCCATATTCCCCATTGAAAGCAGTTCGGAGTGTGATCCTTGCTCCGCAACTTTTCCATTTTCAATCACAGCTATGGAATCAGATTTCTGTATGGTTGATAGTCGATGTGCAACTACTACACAAGTCCTGCCAACCATCATCTTCTCCAATGCTTCTTGCACCAGATTCTCCGATGCACTATCGAGTGCGCTAGTTGCCTCATCTAACAGAAGGATTGCTGGATTCTTGAGTATTGCTCGAGCAAGTGCAACTCTCTGCTTCTGGCCTCCTGATAGCTGCACCCCTCTTTCTCCACAGTAAGTTTCGTATCCATCGTTCATAGAACTGCATTCGTCATCGTAAGAATGAATTTAAAACGTTAACTTGTTTAATGAAATTTAAAATCAGGATATTTTAAAACCTTATAAACTCGTGGGCATTTGCAAGCTTTGCTGCTTTCATGATCTCAGCTTCACTAGCTTCCTCTTTACCATAGATGATGTTATGACGGATACTTCCAGCGAAAAGGGTTGGTTCTTGGCTCACTAGTGCAATATGTGATCTCAAATGTCTCAGATTGTAGTTTTTCAAGTCTCGTGCATCAACGAGTATGCATCCTTTTATTGGGTCGTAGAATCTTTCTATTAACCCAATGATGGTGGATTTACCCGAACCACTTTGACCCACAAGTGCTACTGTTCTTCCAGCTTCAATTTTTAAAGACAGGCCCTGAAAGATCATTTGCTCAGGCCTTGATGGGTAGGAAAAGTGTACATTCATCAGCTCTATATGACCATTGATTCTCCTTACTTTCAAACCTTCAGAGTCATCTGGGTCGATCTCCGTTTTTCTGTCCAGTACTGCTAACACCGACTTAACTGCACCTCCACCCTTTGATAAATCAGAACTCATGCTTCCTGCATCTGCAATGTTCTTGCCTGTGGTCATCAAGATGAAGAAGACCTGGAACATTTGTTTTGCGGTTACCAATCCTTTATTCATTTCTCTTCCACCATACCAATATGCCAACGATATTGCAGCTGTTGTCACAAATTGGGAAGTGAACAAGCCCAGACCCGAGAACCATGACTGTTTAATGCATTCCTTCCGTGGTCCTTTCTGCGTTTCTGCATATAGTCTCACGATTCTTTGTTGAGAAGCAAAGGCAGTGATTGTTCTATGATTTACCACTGCCTCACTTGCTAGTTGAGTGCCTTCGTTCTGTGCCTTTTTGGCTTTTGTGGACATGCTTTTCATCAGAACAGTCTTGGAGTAGAAGCTTGCTATGAGCAATGGTTGCACTGAAATCATGACAATGGCTACTCTCCAAGTGATTATCAATGCAATAATAAAAGCAAGAAATGCGCTGACAAAGACTTGAAGGAGCAACGATATGCGATCTCCAACGAGAGACCTTATCAAGCTAGCTTCAGTTGCAAGCCGGGCACAAATTGCTGCACTCGTGTTCTCATCTTTATCAAACCATCCAACTTCAAACGTGAGGATGTTTCCAAGCATTTTTTCTCTCACCCTCTTGGTTAAACGCTCTCCCATAACTGCAAAGTTATAATGTTGAAGTAGGTTGGCGACAAAGCAAACGACTCCCAAAACTACAAAAATTATACAGTAAAACGCTGTATCTGATTTCACTTTGGCCTTATCGGGCAAGAAGTATACTGAGACAACTGATCCCAAACAATACGCATGTATTGGTGATATAGCCCCAAAACCAGTGGCTCCTAGGCACCCAAGAAAGGCTCGTTTCCACTCGGGAGCATTCATTTGCAAGAGACGCCATTGTGAAGGACTACGATCAGGTATGTCACTTAAGTATTCGCCATCACTTTCTTGATAAGAATACATTTGGACAGAATGAGCCATACTCATAATTACTGTTGGGCAGAAGGGGGACATTGGGCTGTTTTGCAAGCTTGATCTTGCACCAATCGGACTCCGGGCAAATTGGGGATTGAAATCTCTTCCATGAGGTTGTTGTCGGATTGGTGGATATAGAGAATCAGGGGAGCCAGATTCATTATGTGTTGCTGATTGCTGTAACAACACCATTTGGTAGTAGGCACCACCTTCTTTTTTGTTGTTCTTATGCATTAACTCGTCATGTGTACCAGATTCAATGACTTTCCCTGACCAGAGAACCACAATCTTATCTGCCTTACGAATTGTTGTAAGGCGATGGGCAACTATTATAGTTGTTCTCCCTATTGAAGCCTGATCTAGGGCCTCCTGAACAACTCTTTCAGATTTTGTATCTAATGCACTTGTTGCTTCATCCAGCAATAAAATTCTTGGTTCTTTTAGCAAAGCTCTTGCTATGGCAATTCTTTGCTTTTGCCCACCGGATAATTGAATCCCAAACTGTCCAACTTGAGTTTCATAAGCATCAGGCAACTTGATGATGAAATCGTGTGCGTTTGCTGCTTTAGCTGCAATCTCAACCATTTCTGCCGAAACCCCTTCTTTGCCGAAAAGTATGTTTTCCTTGATTGATGTTGCAAAGAGCACTGGCTCTTGATTCACTAATCCCATTTGAGATCTTAACCATTTAAGCTGAAAGCCCTTTAATCGGTGTCCATCAAGAAGGATATCTCCTTTCACAGGGTCATAAAATCTTTCAAGCAAAGAAATAATTGTCGACTTCCCTGATCCACTGCTGCCCACAAGACCTATTGTCTTGCCAGCTTTCACCTTGAGGTTGAGTTTTTGAAGGATCGGTGTATCTGGTCTTGATGGGTATGAGAAATCAACACCCCTGAATTCAATGTCTCCTCTCACAGATGCTATCGTTTTCCCTGTCCAGTTATCAGAATCTATGAGAGGAACCCGTGAAATCATCTTAAACATTCTTTTGGTAGCAGCTATCGCCTCTGAAATGAATGTGACGTTGGGCAATGCACTCATAGCTGAACTGAAATAAGAAAATAAAATCCTTGTGACTACAATATCTATCTGATCGTACTTTTGACTAGGATATGCTATATTGAGAAAGACTTACAGCCCTGCCATGATTACACAAATTGCTGAAACGAAAACACGACCACCTGTTTCTCCTTTTTCGGTAACAAGATAGCTTCCAACCCAAGATATAAATGCCCAAGCAACAAAAACCATACCCATACTCCCGATCATCAAACCTTTTGTAAATCCTTGCTTTATGCCTAGTGCCATACTTGTCTGAAGTGCATGGCTGAATTTATTAATGGTTTGATGTTCTCCAACATAAGAATAAACAGTTCGGATTGATGATATTGCATGCTCTGCAACCCCACCACCTGTATCATAAGCATCCTTCATCTTCATCCCCAGACCTTGTAGTGAGGCCCCAAAGCCTAACACAGGAACGACAAACAGAAGTGCAAAAGGAAGGGAAGCCACAGCTAGTCGCCATGAAAGTATGAAACTCACTATGATGCTGAATACAAGTGCTGATAGGTGAGCCAGACAGTTGGGTATCTACATGACATTTTGCTTCTTGATGATTTGAGTATAAAAGATTTCAAAATTAGAAGAAAAAAATAGGGCAAGATGCATCAAAATGCAACAAAGTTTAGTTTATTTCCTAGTTGGTGTGACGAATAATTATTTTTTCTCAATTGAATTTCCTATTTTGAACCCATTTTGATGGGCCGATCTTGTAACATCTGATGACGTGGAAACCCGTTTACAAAAGGGTTTCAGCAAAGTAGACAATAAACTTGACATCCATGTCATCAGATGTTACAAAATCAACCGGTCAAATGTGTTCAAAATAGGATAGTTTGAAACTTTGTTACATTAGAAAAATTCTCGTAATACTAAATAAGAATATAAAACTTTGTTACATTTTGATGCAAGTTACGTGAAAGAATATGAATGAAAACCTTGTCAGCCATGACATCTTGAATCAATTGAGCATCACCAGAAATGGCTGAGATGACTTCAAAATTAGTGGAAGAGCCAACTTGTGTGTCAAAGAAACTGACTTCTTGCCTGAGTACGGATTTTAGGTATTCTATCCTCAGACGTGATGTTTGTCTTTCTGCAGTTCTTGTCCAGCAAATTCCTTCTGCCAAATATTTAATAATAGAATCAGCATGAGCATGAGAACTAACCAGTTTCTTGATCTGCGGAGAGAAGGGATTTGTTTCTTTGAGAATGTGTGGGACCCCATTAGATTACTCTCCAAAAGAGCCCTTGAGGAGAGAAGGGAGGTTCCATCATATGGAGAGGAGAGATGGTCCAAGTCTAGCCGATGTGAGACTCAAATACACCCCTTCCACAGAGACTAGACAAGTACAAATTACACTGCAGTGTCTAGTCCCTGAGTAAGAATACGTGGATCCCCATTAGATTACTGTAAGAATACGTGGATCCCCATTAGATTACTCTTCGAAAGCGCCATTGAGGAGAAAAGGGGGTTCCGACTACCGACGTATATAGAGGAGAAATGGTGCAAGTCTAGCCAATGTGGGACTCTAATACTTTTTATGAAATTATGAGCAATCAAGATTCTAGTGCCAGATTTCTTGATATCTTTGCAGGTTGAACCATGGGACACCGATAAACTTACCAATGAAAGCTGATACTGCAACGCCAATAGCTAGGATGAGCAGCTTGAGTGCATACTTCAAGATCAGAAACAACTCGTCAATAATGATGCAGTACAGTTAATATATGCAAGTTATACAATACATACCTTGTCCACCACGTCATTGGAGAAAGTCAGATCACCACTCCCATAATCATCGATGATCCCACCAAGGATTACCATTGTAAGGGGAGACATCAACCCATCTCCAATGCATCCTAAGGTACCAAATAACAAAAGAAGCTTATCTGTGCCATCTGCAAAATGAAACATTCCACCTTTTCTCATCATATCAGTGAATCCTCTCTCTACTCTGAAAGTTAACTGTATATATGCACCAAACATTCATATATGCATATGTATCCATGTATGACAAAGGCTTCTTTAATTAGAATACCTGCATTCTAGTATCTGCCAAATGTCATTGATACCCTCTTTGGTAGCGTAGAGGCTATCTACACTTGTTTGTCATGATCTTTAGTTGTGAATTTTGATGCAAATAACTCCAATCTTGTGTGGCCCCCTTGTTGTTTAGTAAATCGAATATAGTGTCAAGTGTCATGACAAATTATGGGTTGGAGCTCTTAGAGGAGTATGAGTAGGGTAGCAGATTATGGATCGGAGCTCTTTGTGTTTCCTTGTTCGTTTAATCTATTTCCCTCACAGCCGTCGTTGATTCATTTTCTGTTTACTAGTTGTTTGTCTCTTGGCCGGCCAAGAAAGGGATTCTTACATTGTACATTCTGCACATATGAGAGCATGTTGTTTTACTATGAATGACATTTGTCCAATTTGTCTTTTTGAGTTGAGATTCTTTCAAAGTGTCCAACGACCAGAGGTTAACTCTCCAATAAGATCAATTCCAAGAATAGTGATTTTGACCAACCATAACGGTTTGGACTGTAAAACCCAATTTTTTTAAATATATAAATAATATTATATGAGTTTTTAAATATTTTTTTTTAAATTCATTTGAAGTGTTAAAATATTTACGTAATTACTTAAAGGAAATAATTGTAGAAATCTTAAATAAATAAATAATGAAAAGATAGACAAATAGGAAAACAAAATAAAATTGTTTTCTTTTATTATTAAACCAAAAATGTAATATATTACATCAGGAGGGGTCTGGTTGTAAATGTCAGAAAATTCAAGGGGTTAAGTGTCATCTTTTTCAAAAATGGGGGACCTGTTTTGCCAAAAGTACATGACTGTTTTTAGAAAACGACTTACAACTTAAAACTCGCGATTTGGCCGATTTCTTCAACTAATAAGCCAAAACTCTTGGCATATAAATTGTAGAGCACTGGCTTAGGATCGTTTTGAGTCAAATAGCTAGTAAAGTAGTTGAGTTTTGAGAGAGAAATCTGAGTTTGAAGTTCGGAATAAAAAATCTCGGGTTTTTACCGATTTTGGATGAGATTCTTAACCAAATCTCTTGATTCTTATGTCTATGGCTTCGTTTTTAAGTGCTCTATCAAACCTCAATAGCCTCATGTCTCATATTTGTGTTTACATGGTTCTATTTTTATGTTTTGAAATTGTTAAATTTTAGTTTTAAAAACAAACTTTAAATGAATATATGGAACTCATTTCTTGACGAAAATTCGTGTTCTTCATGTCAAAACGTTGGTAAAAATATTACCAAGGTTTTGGTGCAAAGAGAACGAAGAAAAAACGTCAAGAAACGAGCCATTTTCGAGTTTGAAAAGCTCCAAAATGTGCAGCCATGGCTGCTGCCTATTTGGGTTGCAACCTGGTTCGAATCGGGTTGGCGGGTCTGACCCGCGTCCCTTTAATTAGCAATGATTACGCTAAAGTATTTTACGCTTCCACAATTATGTAACGAATTATGTTAAACACATTATGTGTGTTAGAAAGTTTAAGTTCGTATTTTTGTTCATGACATAAGTTATTAAGAATGACGTCACTACACTTGAACGAAAGAAAAATAAAATCGGCGGGTGACATGGACTAAGCACATATAGAAACTAGCCAACTGAACTTATATCCACACATACTTCTAATAAAATCACTTTGAGGATACGATTTGGGCTTGATAAACAGGAGAACTGGGATCATCCCTCATTTTGGAGGGGTAATTATTGGACATAGGATGATTGATCATGTTAAAATACATTTGTATTTTGTGGGTTTATTTGCTTAATTCTTTCTTGTCATCATAAAATGTTCTCTTTGGTGCATCATTCATGTCGTCAAAGTTCAAACTTATGCTTTATATCTATGTCTAATAAGCTGAAAAGCAATGGGGTTCTTTATTCTTTTGATGCCAGGAACAAAGCTAAAAAGAAACCGAAAAGTTTCTAGATAAAATACCAACTTATGTGATCTGTGAAGAATGTCAATTGCTAATTGTAGAGCAATCTGTGTCGTTGTGTACAGGAACTTAAACATATGATTTACAAGCTTTTTTGTGACTCATATGTGTTGCATCTTTATGAGAGAGTGGTAGGAACCTATATTCCCCATTGAAAGCAGTTCAGTGTGTGATCCTTGCTCTGCAATTTTCCCATTTTCAATCACAGCTATGGAATCAGATTTCTGTATGGTTGATAACCGATGTGCAACTACTACACATGTCCTGCCGACCATCATCTTCTCCAATGCTTCCTGCACCAGATTCTCGGACGCGCTATCAAGCGCACTAGTGGCCTCATCTAACARAAGAATTGCTGGATTCTTGAGTATTGCTCGAGCAAGTGCAACTCTCTGCTTCTGGCCTCCTGATAGCTGCACCCCTCTTTCTCCACAGTAAGTTTCGTATCCATCTTTCATGGAACTGCATTCAACATCAGAAGAATGAAGTTAAAAGGTTATTTGTTCAATAAAATTTGACGTTGGGATGTTTTAATACTGGGAAAATTGCATGAAAATACCAGTATCCGGTAGAGCTTAACTTCCTAGGGGAGGTCAAGGATTCCATCCTCACTGAATATGAGGAGGGTTGTGTAGGTTCATTTGCTATATATAAATATTACGTACTCTAAAAAAAGCTTGAAAATACAACGTACTTTGCTATGGATCCTATTTTGGTCAACACATTTTCAAAATGTGCATATTGGTACCTCGAGATGTGACATCTCAAACATTTAGGTAACAGAGTTACCTAATAGGCTGAAAATGCTGAATGTGATCAGGTTTTTCAACTAACCAAAAAATTTCCAGTCATTACTTTTTTTAATAATTTGTTATATTTTTTCAATTGTTATGTGAAAATATTACAAATTTTGAATTTAAAAAAATAGCACGTGGATCTTTTTGATTAGTTGGAATGTTATGAAAATCAATAAGTGAGATGTCACATCTTAGGTACCAAACGAAGGTTCTGAAAATACGTTAGCCAAAATAGGAATCATACCAAGGTATCTTGCATTTTCGTATAATTTACCCTTTAATACCTTATAAACTCATGGGCATTTGCAAGCTCTGCTGCTTTCATTACTTCAGCTTCACTAGCTTCCTCCTTGCCATAGACGATGTTATGACGAATACTTCCTGCGAAAAGAGTTGGTTCTTGGCTCACTAGTGCAATATGTGATCTCAAGTGTCTCAGATTGTAGTTTTTTAAGTCTCGTTCATCGATGAGTATACATCCTTTTATTGGGTCGTAGAATCTTTCTATCAATCCGATGATGGTGGATTTACCTGAACCACTCTGACCCACAAGTGCTACTGTTTTTCCTGCTTCGATCTTTAAATACAATCCCTGAAATATCATTTGCTCAGGCCTTGATGGGTAAGAGAAGTGTACATTCATCAGCTCTATATGGCCGTTGATTCCGCTAACTGTTAAACTTTCAGAGTCATCTGGGTCGATCTTCGTTTTTCTATCTAGTACTGCTAACACTGACCTAACTGCATCTCCACCTTTTGATAAATCAGAACTCATGCTTGCGGCATCTGCAATGTTCTTGCCTGTGGTCATCAAGATGAAGAAAACCTGGAACATTTGTTTTGAGGTTACCGATCCTTCACTCATTTCTCTTCCACCATACCAAAATGCCAATGATACTGCAGCTGTTGTCACAAACTGGGAAGTGAACAAGCCCATACCCGAAAACCATGATTGTTTAATGGATTCCTTCCGAGGTCCTTTCTGTGTTGCTGCATATAGTCTCGTGATTCTTTCTTGAGAAGCAAAGGCAGTGATTGTTCTATGATTCACCACTGCCTCACTTGCTAGTTGGGTTCCTTCATTCTGTGCCTTTTTGGCTTTTGTGGACATGCTTTTCATGAGAACCATCTTGGAGTAGAAGCTTGCTATGAGCAAAGGCTGCATTGAAATCAGGACAATGGCAATTCTCCAAGTGATTATCATTGCAATTATAAAAGCAAGAAATGCGCTGACAAAGACTTGTAGGAGCAACGATATTCGATCTCCAATGAGGGACCTTATCAAGCTAGCTTCAGTTGCAAGCCGGGCACAAACTGCTGCACTCGTGTTCTCATTTTTATCAAACCATCCGACTTCAAACGTGAGGACGTTTTCAAGCATTTTTTCTCGCACCCTCTTGGTTAAACGCTCTCCCATAACTGCAAAGTTATAATGTTGGAGTAGGTTGGTGAAGAAGCAAGCAACTGCAAGTCCTACAAAGATTATGCAGTAAAACTCCGTCTCTGATTTCACTTTGGCCTTATCAGGCAAGAAGTACACCGAGGCAACTGATCCCAAGCAATAGGCTTGTATTGGTGATATAGCCCCGAAACTCGTTGCTCCTAGGCACCCAAGAAACGCTCGTCTCCATTCGGGGGTGTTCATTTTCAAGAGACGCCACTGTGAAGGACTAGAATTAGGTATTTTCTCATCACTTTCTTCATAAGAATGAGTGACACTGAAGGGGGACATTGGGCTGTTTTGCAAGCTTGATCTTGCACTAACCGGACTCTGGGTTGTTTGGGGATTGGAACTTATTTCATGGGTTCTTTGTCTAGTTGGTGTATATGGAGAATGAGGGGAGTGTGATTCATTCTGCTTTGCTGATTGCTGCAACTGCACCATTTGGTAGTAGGCACCACCTTCTTCTTGATCGTTCTTTTGCATTAACTCCTCGTGTGAACCAGATTCAATAACCTTCCCTGATTGGAGAACCACAATTTTATCAACTTTACGCACTGTTGTAAGGCGATGGGCAACTATGATTGTTGTTCTTCCTACTGAAGCCTGGTCTAGAGCCTCCTGAACAACTCTTTCGGATTCTGTATCTAACGCACTTGTTGCTTCATCCAACAATAAGATTCTTGGTTCTTTGAGCAGAGCTCTTGCTATTGCAATTCTTTGCTTTTGCCCACCAGATAATTGAATCCCAAACTGTCCAACTTGAGTTTCATAAGCATCAGGTAACTTGATGATAAAATTGTGTGCGTTTGCTGCTTTAGCTGCATTCTCAACAAGATCATCCGAAACCGTTTCCTTCCCAAAAAGTATGTTTTCCTTGATTGATGTTGCAAAGAGTACCGGCTCTTGATTCACTAATCCCAGTTGAGATCTTAACCATTTAATCTGAAGCCTCTTTATTTCATATCCGTCGAGAAGGATATCTCCTCTCACAGGGTCATAAAATCTTTCAAGCAAAGAAATAATTGTCGACTTCCCTGATCCGCTGCCGCCCACAAGACCGATTGTCTTGCCAGCTTCCACTTTGAGGCTGAGTTCTTGAAGAACTGGAGTATCTGGTCTTGATGGGTATGAGAAGTCAACACTCCTGAACTCAATGTCTCCTCTCACAGATGGTAGCGTTTCCCCTTTACTATTATCAGGATCTATGAGTGGAGCGCGGGAAATCATCGTAAACATTCTTTCCGTAGCAGCTATCGCCTCTGAAATGCATGTGATGTTAGGTAGTGCGCTCATAGCCGCCCTGAAATACGAAAATAAAATCCTTCAGACTACAATATTACGAGACCCTACTTCAAATGGGATACGAAGTATTTACCAGTCCCTACTTTCAAATGAGATATACAGTATAGACCGTGCTTTCGTTTGAGATATACCGTATTTACCAGATTCTACTATCGAATGGGATATTACATATGCAGAAAGACTTACACCCCTGCCATGATGACACAAATTGCTGAAATGAATACACGGCCACCAGATTCTCCCTTTTCAGTGACAAGATAGCCTCCGAACCAAAATATAAATGCCCAGGTCCCGAAAACCATACCCATGCTCCCCATCATCAAACCCTTAGTAAATCCTTGCTTTATCCCTAGTGCCATACTTGTCTCAAGTGCATGGCTGAACTTATCAATCGTATGTTGTTCTCCAACATAAGAATAAACCGTTCGGATTGATGATATTGCCTGCTCTGCAACCCCACCACCTATATCATAAGCATCTTTCATCTTCATCCCTAGAGATTTTAGGAAACTCTTGATGCCTAACACAGGAACGACAAACAGAAGTGTGAAAGGAAGAGAAGCCGCTGCAAGTCGCCATGAAAGTATGAAACACACTACAATGCTGAATACAAGTGCTGATAGCTGAGTTACACAGTTGGGTATCTGCATGACATTTTGCTCATGATGAGTATTTGAACAAAAATATTCTATAATTAGAAGAAAAAAATTATTAATTATAGAGTATGAATGGAAAACCTTTTCAGCCATAACGTCGTGAATCAATTGAGCATCACCGGAAATGGCTGAGATAACTTCAAAATTGGTGGAAGAGCCAACTTGTGTGTCAAAGAAACCGACTTCTTGTCTGAGTACGGATTTCAAGTATTCCGTCCTCAAACGTGATGTTTGTCTTTCAGCTGTTCTTGTCCAGCAAATTCCTTCTGCAAGATATTTAATAGCAGAAATAATATGAGCATGAGAGTGATACAATATGTGAAAACCCGTCAGAGTACTCTCTAAAAGTGCTCTTGGAGGAGAAAAGAGAGGTTTCAACACATATAGAGGAAAAATAGTCCAACTCTAGCCGACCATGTGAGAATATGTGGAACATTGGAACCCTATCGCAGAGGGAAGAAGGTTCCAACACATGTTGAAGAGAAATGGCCCAAATCTAGCCGACAGTGGAAATTTAACAAAAACTTTCTTGATCTCTGTTGCTGCTGGCTTGTAACAAAATGATTTGAGTAAATTATAAATTTGGTCCCTGTGGTTCACACTTTTTACTCACTCTAGTCCCAAAGAGTGCGAAAATGTAGACCATGAGTCCCTTCCTTGTATTTATTTTGATTTGGGACTAGAGTGGGTAAAAAGTATGAACCATGGGGACTGATTTGTAATTTTCTCTTTGATCCTTTTTTTAATGAAAGTATGAGCAATTGAGATTCTAGTGCCAAATTTTTTGATCTTTTGGCTTGCAGACTGCAGTAAACTTACCAACGAAAGCCGCTACTCCAACGCCAATAGCTAGTACGAGCAGCTTGAGTGCATACTTCAAGATCAGGTCAAAAAAAAAAAAAAACTTGTCAACAATGGTGTAGTTCGATCAATTTATGCCGGTTGCATGCTGGTTAGTACAGTGACACAATCCATACCTTGTTAACCACATCATTGGAGAAAGACAGATCACCGCCTCCATAATCGTTGATGATCCCACTAAGGATTACCATCGTAAGAGGAGACATCAATCCATCTCCAATGCAGCCTAAGGTACCAAATAACAGCAGAAGCTTATCTATGCCATCTGCAAAATGGAACATTCCACCTTTTTTCGCCATATTAGAAGGTACACTCTCTATTCTGAAACACCTTGCTGTATGTATGCAGCACATATAATATATATATATATATATATATATATATATATATATATATATATATATATATATATATATAGCATATGTTATCCATGTATGACCAAGACTTGTTTGATTAGAATACTTGCATATTGTAGCATCGGCCAGTTGTTATTGATACCCTCATACCCTCTACGTGAGATTTTTGATGAATTCATTTGGTTTGGGACTATAATTCCTTCTAGTTGTTGGCAGGATAAGAAAAGGCATTTTTACATTCTGCACATCATCTTGTTTTCATATGAATGGTATTTGTCCAATTTGTCTTTTTGTGTTCAGATTCTTTCAATAAATAAGATCAATTCCAAGAATGGTGGCCCAAACTGGCTGAGGTAGGCTAAGTGCACACCTATTATTTGCTAAATGTACACCTACTTATTAAGACGGGTGATGCTATATGTACCCCTACATAAGTCAAAATCAAGTCAAATCGTATATTGAAAAGGATTTTAGCATATTGCGGTGCTGCATTTAGCAATCATAGAGGTGCAATTAGCCTACCCCATTAAGACATTTTTTACATTTTCAATGTATACCATTTAAATGTATTCTTTTTACCTCTTTGGATTGGATTACAATAAGATATGCTTTTAAAATCAGTCATAGAAGGGCTGCTTCAACTTTTCTTCTGGACTTGTGTTCTCATTACGGCAAACAACTTTTCATTTTTCAAATTCTTGGAGGGTATATATGTCTTTTCGCAAAAAAAATTGTTTTTCAAATTATTGAAATGCTTTCATCTTAAAAAAAACATTGTTTGTTTTTATCGTTTGGAAAAAACGATGGTCGTAATATCCAAAGAATGTTTTCGAATATTGTTGACGAATATTTGTTTTTAAACAATCAACAAATTGATATACCTATGATGTTCGTTCGACATCACTTTACCAATGTGAATATGAGGTGGCTTTAATTTTCGGGATCCAATCTTTGACTGATGATGATGTTCATTTGACATCACTTTACCATCATATATACCTGAATCATAGCCCTCGGACATGTAGCTCAGTTGGCAAATGGATGGAGCGACTTTGCTCAAATACACAACAGGTTCAAGTTCGAATCATGCGGGAGACGGGCTTGAACCCCTCTGCTAGCCTTAATTGCTAAGTCATCTCTGAAATGCTTCTTCACATGTAGTTCCTACTTCCTAGGGGTAGGTTTCATGTGGGGTCGGTCGGGGTTGCCAGTACTTACCTTTTGCTCAAATATATACTTGAATTAAAACAGATTGATGGCAATCAATATAATCAAATTTGAAACATCTTACTGTTACAATTGAAATAACCTTTTCGGAGAAGTTCATATAATATTTTTTTATATAATGAAAATGACTAAGGGGCCGTTTACCAAATGTTGACCGGGTAAGCGCTTACGGGGTGTCACTTACCTCTTGGGCGAGCATGACAAAGACCTAGCATCTTACCCGGTAAGAGGCATAGCAAGGACCGAGGCTCTTAGTCGATAAGTGAGGGAGAAGACTCTCACCCAGTCCGGTAAGCGCTTACCGGGTAAAAGTTACATTTTGATGCAGTTTACCTAAAAGAACATGAATGAAAAACCTTATCAGCCATGCCATCTTGAATCAATTGAGCTTCACAAGAAATGGCCGAGATAACTCCAAAATTGGTGGAAGAGCGAACTTGTGTGTCAAAGAAACCGACTTCTTGCCTGAGTACGGATTTTAGGTATTTCATCCTTAGACTTGATGTTTGTGTTCCAGCGGTCTTGTCCAGCAAATTCCTTCTGCGAGATATTTAATAGTAGAATCAGCATAAGCATGAGAACTAACCTGTTTCTTGATCTGGGGTGCAGCTGCCTTGTAACAAAATGATTATGATATTCTCGTTTTGAGAATATGTAGAACCCCATTAGATTACTCTCCAAAAGAGCCCTTGAGGAGAGAAGGGATGTTCCATCATATAGCAGATGTGGGACTCAAATACACCCCCTCCAAGGAGGCTAGACAAGACAGATTGTCTTACAGTGTCGAGTCCCTGAGTAATAGACCTTGGCTCTTATAACATGTAAGCATACGTGGAACCCCATTAGATTACACTTCGAAAGCGTCATTGAGGAGAAAGGGGGGGGGGGTTCCAACATATATAGAGGAGAAATAGTTCAAGTCTAAGCCGATGTGGAACTCTTAACAATTTTCTATGAAGTTATGAGCAATCAAGATTCTAGTGCCAGATTTCTTGATAGTTTGGCGGGTTGGAACCAAGAGACACCAGTAAACTTACCAATGAAAGCTGATACTACAACGCCAATAGCGAGAGTGTGCAGCTTGACTGCATACTTCAAGATCAGAAACAAATCTTCAATAATGATGCAGTTCGATCAATGTATGCAGGTTAGTACAAATCATACCTTGTTCACCACATTGTTGGAAAAAGACAGACCATTGCCTCCAAAATCGTTGATGATCCCACTAAGGATTATCATCGTAAGAGGAGACATCAACCCATTTCCAATGCAGCCTAAGGTACCAAATAACAAAAAGAAGCTTATCTGTGCCATCTGCAAAATGAGACGTTCCACCTTTTCTCGTCATATCAGTGAATATTCTCTCTACGCTGAAAGTTAATTGTATATATGCAGCAAACAGTTATATATGCATGTGTATCCATGTATGAGAAAGAGTTCTTTGATTAGAATACCTGCATTCTAGTATCTGCCAAATGTTATTGTTACCCTCTTTGGTAGCTTAGTGCCTATCTTATATGTTTGCTGCACTTTTTTGTCATGATCTTTAGTTGTGATGCATATAACTACAATCTTCTGTGGCCCTTTTGTTGTTAAGTAAATTGAATTAAAGTCCACAAGGGAATAYCTAGCATAGAAAAGAGCTAGGACATATTTTTTACGGCCTAAGATATGACTACCAGATGGGTAGGTGATGTTTGCACGGGTATCCCTTGAATCAGTGCATTAATTTGACGTGGGGGTAAAAGCACCATTGGGCGATGGTTCCTCTTCTCTTCTTCCTCTTGAACCTCGAACAAAAAAAAGACCCCGCCATCAACTCGACTATTGTTTTCTATAATTCTAGTTTGTCTCTTGGCCGGCCAAGAATGGCATTCTTGTGTCTTACCCTGTACATTCTGCACATATGAGAGCATGTTGTTTTATTATGAATGGAATTTGTCCAATTTGTCTTTTTGGATTGAGATTCTTTCAAAGTGTCCAACTTGTGGTCCCGACCAACCATGATTGACTCATCCAACCATCAACTTTTCTGGATAAATTAACGGTCTTGGATTAAGCACATATTGAAACTACTAACCAACTTATATCCACACACAAGGTTTTAAAAGGCGGAATCGGGCCTCGAGGCGCTTTCTCTCAATGAGGCAAAGCGTAAGCCTCGAGGCAGTCTGAGGCGTAAGGCCTGAGGCGGAAATATATAAACACCAAAATATGTATATACACATATTTATATACGATATATATATAATAATAAATTGCTAAGAGGCGCTGGTTCAGTGATTCTTGACAGAGGAAAGAGGGAAACTGTGAGAGATTGAGAGGGTGTGGAAAAATTGGTTGCTTGTTGGAAGAGGAAGGCTCAAGCCACACTTTTTGATTGAGAGGAAAAACTAGTAAAAGTACACATTGGGGCCATTAGGCTTTAACTTTTAGTTTTTTAACATAAAAAAGTCATTATAAAGAGAAGTACTAATATTGTCATAAAACTTATAGAAAAAGCCAAAAAAAAACCATCACTGAAGCAAATCATCCAAGGCGTAGGCCTAGACACCGCCACATATCTTACCAAACCGCCTTACTGAACCAAGGCGTAAGCCTCGTCCAGGGTACAAGAGGCACCGCCTCAGGTGTGGTTTTGGACCGCCTCGCCTCGAGGTCAAACAATTTTTAAAATCATGTCCACACATGCTTCTAGCAAAATCACTTGAGGATACGATTTAGGTCTCGATAAGTAAAGAACCACGAAAACTGCAATAATTCCTCATAATGAAGGGGTAAGTATTGGACATAGGATGAATGATCATGTGATAATACATTTGTATTTTTGTGGGTTTGTATTTTTGTGGGTTCGTTTGCAGAATTCTTTCTTGACATAATAAATGTTCTCTTGGTTCATCTTTTTTGTGGGAATCTTTGAGAATATTGGGTTCATCATTCATGTCATCAAAGTTGCAACTTGTGCTTCATGTCTATGTCTAATGAGCTGAAAAGCAATGGGGTTCTTGATTCTTCTGATGCCATGAATAAAGCTAAAAAAGAAACTGAAAAGTTCACCATTTAGTGCGATCTGTGTAAGAATGCCAATCATTAATTGTAGAGCAATCTGTGTCCTTGTGTACAGGAACTTAAATATATGATTTACAAGCTTTTTAGTGACTCATAGGTGTTGCAGCTTTATGAGAGAGTGGTAGGAACCTTTATTCCCCATTGAAAGCAGTTCAGAGTGTGATCCTTGCTCTACAACTTTTCCATTTCCAATCACAGCTATGGAATCAGATTTCTGTATGGTTGATAATCGATGTGCAACTACTACACAAGTCCTGCCAACCATCATCTTCTCCAATGCTTCTTGCACCAGATTCTCGGACGCGCTATCAAGCGCACTAGTGGCCTCATCTAACAAAAGAATTGCTGGATTCTTGAGTATTGCTCGAGCAAGTGCAACTCTCTGCTTCTGGCCTCCTGATAGTTGCACCCCTCTTTCTCCACAGTAAGTTTCGTATCCATCTTTCATGGAACTGCATTCAACATCAGAAGAATGAAGTTACAACGTTATTTCTTTAATAAAATATGAAGCTGGGATGTTTTAATACCGGGAAAAGTGCATGAAAATACCAAAAGGTATGTTTGCATTTTCATGTAATTTTCCCTTTAATACCTTATAAACTCATGGGCATTTGCAAGCTCTGCTGCTTTCATTATTTCAGCTTCACTAGCTTCCTCCTTGCCATAGACGATGTTATGGCGAATACTTCCTGCGAAAAGAGTTGGTTCTTGGCTCACTAGCGCAATATGTGATCTCAAGTGCCTCAGATTGTAGTTTTTTATGTCTCGTTCGTCGATGAGTATACATCCTTTTATTGGGTCATAGAATCTTTCTATCAATCCTATGATGGTGGATTTACCTGAACCACTCTGACCCACAAGTGCTACTGTTTTTCCTGCTTCGATCTTTAAATGCAATCCCTGAAATATCATTTGCTCAGGCCTTGATGGGTAGGAGAAGTGTACATTCATCAGCTCTATTTGGCCGTTGATTCCGCTAACTGTTAAACTTTCAGAGTCATCTGGGTCGATCTCCGTTTTCCTGTCTAGTACTGCTAACACCGACCTAACTGCACCTCCACCTTTAGATAAATCAGAACTCATGCTTCCTGCATCTGCAATGTTCTTGCCAGTGGTCATCAAGATGAAGAAAACCTGGAACATCTGTTTTGAGGTTACCAATCCTTTATTCATTTCTCTTCCACCATACCAAAATGCCAACGATATTGCAGCTGTTGTCACAAATTGGGAAGTGAACAAGCCCATACCCGAAAACCATGACTGTTTAATGGATTCCTTCCGTGGTCCTTTCTGTGTTGCTGCATATAGTCCCATGATTCTTTCTTGAGAAGCAAAGGCAGTGATTGTTCTATGATTCACTACTGCTTCACTTGCTAGTTGGGTTCCTTCATTCTGTGCCTTTTTGGCTTTTGCAGACATGCTTTTCATGAGTGTTATCTTGGAGTAGAAGCTTGCTATGAGCAAAGGCTGCATTGAAATCATGACAATGGCAATTCTCCAAGTGATTATCATTGCAAATATAAAAGCAAGAAACGCGCTGACAAAGACTTGAAGGAGCAACGATATGCGATCTCCAACGAGGGACCTTATCAAGCTAGCTTCAGTTGCAAGTCGTGCACAAACTGCTGCACTCGTGTTCTCATCTTTATCAAACCATCCGACTTCAAACGTGAGGACGTTTTGAAGCACTTTTTCTCTCACCCTCTTGGTTAAACGCTCCCCCATAACTGCGAAGTTATAGTGTTGGAGTAGGTTGGTAAAGAAGCAAGCGACTCCAAGTCCTACAAAGATTACGCAGTAAAGCGTTGTCTCTGATTTCACTTTGTTCTTATCGGGCAAGAAGTATACTGAGACAACTGATCCCAAGCAATACGCGTGTATTGGTGATATAGCCCCAAAACCAGTTGCTCCTAGGCACCCAAGAAATGCTCGTCCCCACTCAGGAGCGTTCATTTTCAAGAGACGCCACTGTGAAGGACTAGAATTATATATTTTCTCATCACTTTCTTCATAAGAATGAGCCATACTGAATGGGGACATTGGACTGTTCTGCAAGCTTGATCTTGCACTATTCGGACTCCGGGTTGTCTGGGGATTGAAATTTCTTTCATGGGTTCTTTGTCCGGTTGGTGTATATGGAGAATCAGGGGATCCTGATTCATTCTGCTTTGCTGATTGCTGCAACTGCACCATTTGGTAGTAGGCACCACCTTCTTCTTGATCGTTCTTTTGCATTAACTCCTCGTGTGAACCAGATTCAATAACCTTCCCTGATTGGAGAACCACAATTTTATCCGCTTTACGGACTGTTGTAAGGCGATGGGCAACTATGATTGTTGTTCTTCCTACCGAAGCCTGGTCTAGAGCCTCTTGAACAACCCTTTCCGATTCTGTATCTAACGCACTTGTTGCTTCATCCAACAATAAGATTCTTGGTTCTTTGAGCAGAGCTCTTGCTATCGCTATTCTTTGCTTTTGCCCACCAGATAATTGAATCCCAAATTGCCCAACTTGTGTTTCATAAGCGTCGGGTAACTTGATGATGAAATTGTGTGCGTTTGCTGCTTTAGCTGCATTCTCAACAAGATCATCCGAAACTCCTTCCTTCCCAAAAAGTATGTTTTCCTTGATTGATGTTGCAAAGAGTACTGGCTCTTGATTCACTAATCCCATCTGAGACCTTAACCATTTAAGCTGAAGCCTCTTTATTCTGTGTCCATCGAGAAGGATATCTCCTCTCACAGGGTCATAAAATCTTTCAAGTAAGGAAATAATCGTCGACTTCCCTGATCCGCTGCCGCCCACAAGACCTATTGTCTTGCCGGCTTTCACTTTGAGGCTGAGTTCTTGAAGGATTGGAGTATCTGGTCTCGATGGGTATGAGAAGTCAACACTCCTGAATTCAATGTCTCCCCTCACAGATGGTAGCGTTTTCCCCTTACTATCATCAGGATTTATGAGCGGAGCTCGGGAAATCATCTTAAACATTCTTTCAGTAGCGGCTATCGCCTCTGAAATAAATGTTACGTTAGGCAGTGCACTCATGGCCGCCCTGAAATAGGAAAATAAGATCCTTCAGACTACAGTATTACGAGACACTACTAAGGGGTTGTTTGTTTCGATTAATTCAATGGATTTCAAGGGAATTGGAATGATTCAAGAAGGAGATTCCAATTATTTTGAGAGATTCAATTCCAATTCCTGCCGACCAAACACGTGGTCAAATTCTCATATAATTCCTTCAAAGTCAAATTCCTTTGATGTATTCCCATTCCACCAAATTCCATTTTGCGAACCAAACGCCCCCTTAATTTATTCGACCCTTCTTTCAAATGGGATATACAATATAGACCCTACTTTTGAATGAGTATACAGTAGTTACCATACTCTACTTCGAATGAGATATATTGTGTGCAAAAAAACTTACAGCCCCGCCATGATGACACAGATTGCTGAAATGAATACACGGCCACCAGATTCTCCTTTTTCAGTGACAAGATAGCCTCCGACCCAAAATACAAATGCCCAGGCCGCGAAAACCATACCCATGCTCCCGATCATCAAACCCTTTGTAAATCCTTGCTTTATCCCTAGTGCCATACTTGTCTGAAGTGCATTGCTGAACTTATCAATTGTTTGCTGTTCTCCAACATAAGAATAGACAGTTCGGATTGATGATATTGCCTGCTCTGCAACCCCCCCACCTATATCATAAGCATCCTTCATCTTCATCCCTAGAGCTTTTAGGAAAACCCCGATGCTTAACACAGGAACGATAAACAGAAGTGCAAAAGGAATAGAAGCCACTGCAAGTCGCCATGAAAGTATGAAACTCACTACGATGCTGAATACTAGTGATGACAGCTGAGCCACACAGTTGGGTATCTACATGACATTTTGCTTCATGATGAATATAAAAGATTCTAGAATTAGAAGAAAGATTAAAGAATATGAATGAAAAACCTTTTCAGCCATAACGTCCTGAATCAATTGAGCATCACCAGAAATGGCTGAGATAACTTCGAAATTGGTGGAAGAGCCAACTTGTCTGTCAAAGAAACCGACTTCTTGCCTGAGTACGGATTTCAGGTATTCCATCCTTAGACGTGATATTTGTCTTTCAGCTGTTCTTGTCCAGCAAATTCCTTCTGCAAGATAATGATAGTAGAATCATCATGAGCTCGAGAACCAACCTATTTCTTGATCTGGGGTGCAACTGTTTTGTAATAAAATGATCCTGATCTTTTTGTTTTGAATGAAATTATGAGCAATCAAGATTCTAGTGCCAATTTTTTTGATATTTTTTGCAGGTTTGTGAGCAAGAGCCACCTTTGGCTTGCAGACTGCACTAAACTTACCAATGAAACCCGCTACTCCAACGCCAACAGCTAGGACGAGCAGCTTCAGTGCATACTTTAAGATCAAGTATAAAAAAAACTCGTCAATAATGGTGTAGTTCGATCAATGTATGCAGGTTAGTACAAATCATACCTTGTTCACCACATCATTGGAAAAAGACAGACCATTGCCTCCGAAATCGTTGATGATATCGCTAAGGATTATCATCGTAAGAGGAGACATCAACCCATCTCCAATGCAGCCTAAGGTACCAAATAACAAAAGAAGCTTATCTATGCCATCTGCAAAATGAAACATTCCTTTCTTTTTCGCCATATCAGAAGGTACACTCTCTATTCTGAAAACACCTTACTCTATATATGCAACAAACATAAATACATGCATATATATATATATATATATATATATATATATATATATATTCATGTATGACCAAGGCTTGTTTGATCAGAATACTTGCATACTGTAGTATCTGCCAAATGTGATTGATACCCTCTTTATGTTGGCTGCACTTGTTTGTCAAGATCTTTGTTTAGTAAATTGAATTTTGGTTTAAAGTACGTAAACTTGTCGAAAATTCATTGTCAAATTGACACAACAAAATATATGATAGCCGACCGACTTATTATATTTTATAAAACTGTGACACTATTGGAAAGTCCCATTCAACTTGACTGGTAAATCCTATAGGACTGCTAGATCTGCTGTTATTTGCCAAAAAAAAAAAAATTAAGACCAGAAGGCACATGTACCCAACATGAGTGTCACAAAGTTGGGTATACTTGAGATGGTTTGGTTATAAATTTTAGGGATTTTGGACAAATTTTTTGCTCCAACCGATTCTCGAAAGAGGAGAGAGGGTGTGAAATTCTTCAAATTTGGAGAACCTCTCAATAATGATTACCATAAGAGAGGAGAGAGCATTGTTCTAAAAAGCTTGCTGCAACAGCCATTGTAACGCGTTGTGGCTCAAAGCTTGTGCCACGTTAAGGCAGTGGCACTCCAAGGCCTATTTTGCGGTTTTTGCAACTCAATATTTGATTTTTCTTATCTTTTGATGTCTTATTTGTTAGTTTTTAATATGTAATTTAATTTAAATTGTTTAATATCATTGACTCATTCAGTAAATAGTAGACTACATATTCTTTTATATATAATATTATATATGATATAGAGATTTGCCGCCATAAGTCACGCCTTGTAAATCGTCGTGGGCCGTGACCATGTCGTGGCTCCTAAGGCTCGAGGCTTGGCGTCGCCTCACACCACAGGCTCCCGCCATTTAGAACCTTGGGAGAGAGAAATAATATTTTGTTAAATGTATGAAATATTTTAATAATACAGTTAATGTTGTATGTAATCTTCAAAACGGAGTAGCTGAATTTTTTTTTTACTGTACCTGTTGCTTGTTTCCACACTCACATGTAACGTGTTACGCTTGTTTCTCATAACTTTTATGGAAACAACCACTCTACACGCATAGAAGTATGTACACCCCCTCCTAAGACCAGCTCCAACGGGCCGGTAAAACCCTTTTTTGCCGGTTTCTTCCTTTCAATCACACAACAAAGAGATAAACACCATGCCTGTTAGTGGTTTCGCACTGCATATTTGCAATGAGGAATTCACACGCTATAATGTAGGCCCACAAATTTTATTTTTTTTACGAGTGTGGTTGGAGTTGATTTTTATTTTTGATCTTAGGGCCTACCATATTTGGTGTTTTTTAGTGTCCAAGGTTGAGTTGCTCTAAAATCCTACCTCTATGTGAGATTTATTTATTCATTTGATTCAGTTTGGTCAATAATTCCTAGTTGTTGGCCGGCCAAGAAGTACATCGTGCACATATGAGAGCATCTTGTTTTAATATGAATGACATTTGTCCAATTTGTTCAGACACTTTCAACCAATAAGATCAATTCCAAGAATAGTGGCCCCGACTGGCGGACCATGATTGACTCATCGAAGTTCTGGGTATTAACACGTTTACACGTATAGAAAACGTTCGTTCGACTCTTTTTACTTTGATATCAATTGATGAATTAGTATTGTTCTTTTGGGTAAAACTATGATATGAGAACAATAAATACCATTGAATTGTTTTCTTTTTTACCTCTTTGGATTATAGCAGACAATAGTACATATGAACAAAAGGTTGATTACCAGCAACCTTGACCGACTCCACACGAAAACCATCACCTAGGAACCACATGTGATAAGACATTTCAGAGCTGACTCAGTGGCTGAAGCTAGCAGAGGGGTTCAAGCCTGCCTCCTATAAGATTCGAATTTAAACATGTATATTTGAGTAACGTCGATCCGTCCCTTTGCTAACTGAGTTTCACCTCTAATGACTTGGTACAATAATGTGTTTTTAGAATCAATCATTGAGGGACTCCATTAACATTTTTTATCTTTGTCTTCTTTCTCTTGGATTTCTCTCCAGACGACTTTACATTTTTAAAGTTCTTGGAGGGTAGATATGTCTTTTCACACTAACCGGCCTACTCCCCAACATTTTATTTATTTTTTATTAATTCAAACATTTTTATTGAAATGCTTTCATTTTCAAGCATCTTTTTTGTTTGTTTTTATTATGAAAAATCAAAGATACAAATTTTAGTGTATAATGTTTTCAAATGTTTGTTTTGAACGATCAACAAACTGATATACTGATATGTTTTTATAAAAATCTGAATTTATAACAGATGAAGTTACGTTTGATTGTTGTTTACTAAATTCAAGATGCAATCAGAAGAAAAAAAATCATATATTGAATATGAGATGTCTTTGAATTGGGTGTTTGGATCCAAAAATTAGGAGACTGTTATTTGGCTGGTTTAATCCGTTTATAGTTTATTTGGTTTTCTTGAACTATCTGATAATCAATTAAAAGAGTGTCCGATGCAATCGGTTTGGTTTGTTCGGTTTCAAGTTATTCAGTTCGATTATAAGATAAATCAGATAAAGATATTACGTTAATAAGGTTTGTTAAACAAAGTTGGTTTGTTTGTTCTTTTGGAAATTTTGTATACGAAATAGTTATGATTTTCTTGGGTAAGTGACGAGACGAAAAGGGTTACTAATGGGTTATAAAATGAATATTATTAGAATTTTAAAAAGGTATATAAATATAAAATATAGAAAAATTAAATATTTACGCATTCGTTTAATCCTATTTAACCAAATCTGTAAAAAAAAAATTTGAATCCAAACCAAATCAGTCCATTTTATGGGTTATTTGATTTCGGATTTTTTCCCACTCAAAATCAAGTTCTATTTTTCTTTGGATTCAGACCAAAAAAATATTTTAATCACATAAGGTTTACTAGGAATACGATCGAGTACAAATTCAGATGTTGCAATCATGTAATTGATGTTGAGGAGTTCAAAAATGTAAACTTCATAATTTGCGCAAATAGTTGATTACCGACGACCTTAATCTATCTCATAACAGAATCCACCTCCAAAGAATAAGGGAGGGTTTTTTTATTCACTTGTTGCTGAGGCTAGCAGAGGGGCTTAGGATCGAACCAAGTACATGTCTTATATTTGAACAAAGTCATACTTTCCCTTGATCAATTGATATGACAAAGACATTTATACTTCATAATCAATCCAAGCCATCACAACTTTCTGGATAAGCGTTTTGGTTCAAGTATCTGGTTCTTTAAATATCAAACCGTATAATAAAGATCGTCAGTTTGAGTTGCATGATTAACCTCAATTTTTGTTCAACGGTCTTTTCAACACTAGGTAGTCTGAATTTCTGTTTGAGTATCGTTTTTGTTTTTGTAACCTTAAAACCCGACCTTTTTATCGCCCATTTAGAAAGGAACATTTAATGTTGTTCCAAAAATCAAAAATACGTTCTATGTTACCATTCATGTTACCGTTCAATATTCCAGCCGTATACAACAAATGTAACCACTAAGTTTACCAAGATTGATTTTTTGCGGTCACAATTTGTCATTATTAGTCCATGCATAGCCTGTGACACCCTTCTAAAATAAATGAAAATAATATTGTTTAGCTTTCACATCCTTCCAAAATAACCTTAGGTCTCGTATCATGAATGGATGGATTTGAAAGGATTTGGATTTCAAATTCATTTCAATCTCATGTTTGGTTTGTTGGATTGTCCCGATTTGAACTCCTATAATTTAATTGAAATCTTTCAAACATAGGACTCTGAAATCTTCAGGGAGTGCTCAAGATTCCATAGGATTGTATGCAATAAGGGTTTATAAAATGTTAAAAACATTTCTTTTGTAATAATCAATTTAACAAAAATTTAATTTAATTGTTTTTATAATTATTTTTTATTTTTTTATAAATTATTTATAAATAATGGAATCGAATTTTATTTCAAATCTTACAAACCAAACACACCAATAATTTCAAAACCATTCCAATCCAAATTTCTCCATGAAATCCAAATCCTTCATAAACAATCCGCAAACCAAACGGACCCTTATTCCTAAATAAAAGTTACGCTAATGAGGCTTATAAAGTGGCTTCTTCCACCTTTTTTTTGTCTTGATGGTTCGATCTAGTTGTTAAAGTAAAACGATATGTTTTTTTCACATTTATCTTGAAAAAACAACGGTCGGAAACATGTTCATTTGAGTAGCAATCAAGTTGTTATCGAACACATCAAGATAATATATAATCCCAAAATCATATAAAAACCGTCTAAAAATTACAAACTCTATGAACCAATATTAATCACATATTTTTGTTTTGTTTTTGAAACAACAGTTGTATTTCACCAATGAAACAACACACATGTTGATGTGTGTTGATATGGTTTTGATAACACAACGTTGTTTCATTGGTGCAACAACATATTTCACCAATGAAACAACCTACTCGGTTAATCAGTTCTGATAATACAGTATTGCTTCACCGACGAAGCAACACATGGGACTGATCTCTTTTGATTATAATGTCGTTTCAGCAATGCAATATTACATTGATTGTGTGATTTCAAATGGGAAAAAGTGAGTTTTAGAAGTAAGACTTGTACCGTTGAGCTAACCCGAACATGCCAAGGGTACCACCGGTGTGAACCATCACGACTTTTGCACCGCCTTTTCGCTCCTCCAGGCTAAGTTGAGTTGCTAGCTCCCAAGCAGCCAATGTATATATTGGATCCACAAGAACACCAGTTTCTTGAGCAATTTGTTGGCATGCTTCTATTTCCCCTTTCACCACATTCCCAAATCTGGACCCAAAAAAACAATTACTAAAACAAACCCCTAAGGCATGGGAAGGGTATAAATGTCCAACATGATTAATAATGGGAAAAAAACTCCATTTACATTAAAGGGTCGGGGCAGACCCACTATGGTGGTATAGTGGCACAGGCCACCAATTCATTCCTCTTTTCTAATGTAAAAATGTTTAGGGTTGTGAAAGGTGCCACCATATGCAACTATATATTTCTTGAAACTACAATAATAATCACAAGGTTCTCTTGGGCGAATCAGTTTGCACAGTTCTTTCCTTCGAGGCACGGGTTCGAATCATTGTAATATTTTCTTAGTTTTTAACTTTTAATTTCAAGTGTATTATGTCTCTGAAGTTCTTTTGAGATAAAAGACTCGAACACATGACATCATATACAAAAAGCAAGGAACTAACCAACTGGGCAATGATGATTTTTAAAAGATATCCATAGCTTCATTTCATATAATCAAATGGTGCCACCACTTGAAAAATTCCTATGTCCGCCTATGCTACATAACTTAAGGGCTGTTTGTTTGGTTTTCCATTAAGTCATGTTCGGATTAATCTGTCTGTATATATTAGGAAGGTTTTTGTTTGGAAGGGTTTTCTCATAGATGGAAGGAACGTGTTTTTTTAAATGGAAGGGACAGGTTTGAAAAAAAAAACTTGACTTTCTCCCCCCTAGAAGCTTACTGAATAAGTCACTTTTTATATCAATAAGCCAAACAATCATGTATAGCTGACGAATACGCCGTGAGTCTCATAAGCATATTTAAACTCATTAAACTGCAAAAAAAACAGACCCTTAGTTCTTCGTACCTTTTGCTCCCACTTTTCCACAAGCCGGCGGTGATAACCAATAACAATGGACAACCAAATATTTTTTTCCGATTAATGGGATTCCAAGAGGCGACTATGGCACTAAGTATAAGTTGTCAAGTATAAATGTAACGTTACCAAATTCACGTGCAATAGTTATTGAACTGATGTCGTTGTAATTTAATTACCATAAAATAGTTGACGCCATTTAATGCAATAAAATTCGGAATGATAACTAATCAAACAAAGAAACTTACTTTCTTGGATGTCGACGTTCAACCCAGTTTACGAGTCCGCTGCGTGTAGTAGGCACGTCATAGCATCGGCATAATTCAGATATCAAATGCTCTTCCTGTTTTCTGTACCCTTCAATGGTGTCAGCCAGCATCACTGCAGTTACTTCCCAAGGGAGTCTAGCAGAAGATAGAAGCATTTGTGAAAATTCTAATGGATACTTTGGCCATAACAAAAAGGGTTAATTAAAAAAAGTACAAACATACAATAATGTCAAGTCAGACTGCTTATGGCATTGTAAGGGAGCGTTTGGTACACAGAACACAGCAGAACAGAGGTCACTGTTCCCCATTAGGCATGACTTTTATGGAACAAGGTGGAAAGACCTATACTTTACCGATATAACCTCAAAATAAAACCTAATTTTCTTCTAAAACATCAAATACGCCTCACCCTTTTTACATTTCTTTTCATTCTTTAGATTTTATTTATTGTATTTTATGCTTTTAAAAATTTCACTTTACTGTCCTCAAAATATTCTTTTTATACGGTTTTTATATTTTGGTTAATTTATGTAATTTATTAAATATTAATAATAATAAAATTAATTATAGAAAATGTATAAAATAAAAAGTGCAAGCTACATAAACTTTTTATTTTGGTGTTATTTTAATCGTTTGATGATAACTTTCTAATGATATATTTTGTTACAAAAATATTTATTTTATGATAATTTAATAAATTACATAAATTAATCAAAAACAGATATAAACAACTCATTAAAGATAAATTGGTCATTTTATCTATTTTGTCTTGTCCAATTTTGTCCTATGAAGTCTGTCTAGATACCAAACACGCCCTAAGCAAAGCAGCCCAGTATCTCCGGCTAGGAGCTGGGGCTGGGGGTTGGGATGTACACAAACCTGACCTCTACTCTCAAAGAGTAGAGCGGCTGTTTCAGTGAAACGTAAACTTTTGGCCAAATATTTCACATATTTGTCAAAATTGCTAATTGGACGATCGAGATAAATATGCCAAATTGGTTAAAGTTATAGTAGAGGTGAAATCATGTCACATATATTATGTTTTTGGTAATTAACCGTAAAGAAAATATAAGCTTACAGAAAACTGAGTTCGTTTAAAATGATGAGCGCATACCCTAAACATAAGGCTCCGATTCCTAAACCAACAGCAGTTGTGCCAGTACCAGCATCTACGACAATTTTCAGAGGCTGATCTTTTCCAAGTATATGATCTTGCGATAAATATTGTACAAGGCGAATCAAACCTATAAAGGAGAATTTAGTCGATTAAAACCTATAAAGAGCAGCATCAGTGAACCAAGGCTTCTTGCGCAAAGATTGGGAAAGTGTTTGTACATAGTTTTTCCCTTGCAACAAAGTGGCCGTTTCCCAACTCAAATTTGTGTACGTCTGGTCACAAAGGAGTAATTTTTGCAGTTAGTCACTTGGGTTAGGGTGCGTTTGGTATGCAGACGGGACTAGATAGGACTGGACGGGTTAGAGTGAGGTACGCACGTGAAAAACTTGTGTAAGGATTCAGTATTATTAATTTAATATGGGTAGTTTAATAATTTATCAATCTTGCCCAATCTTCCTGATTTTTGTTTCACCTAGTTCGGTGGGACGGAAAAAATGCATTTGTGTTGCATTCACTCATGTCATGTTCTGGTCTAAATGTTGCACCAAATGTGAGACAACAAGTTTTTCTTACGTCCCATCGCATGTACCAAATGCACCTCAAAAAACACCATTAAGCACATTCATCTACTACACTAAGGATACGTTTGGTATCCAAGACGGAACAAAACATGACAGAACAGTTGTTCAACCTTTGGTAAGACAGAACTGGACAGGACATACCAAATAAAAATTAAAATGACCAATCCCTAATGAGTTGTTTATATATTTTATATATTTTGATTAATTTATTAAATTATAATAAAATACATATTTTTATAACAAAATATATCATTAGAGAGTTGTTATAACCGGGTTATTGGTTTCATATTTGGGGTTGTTATTAAAATTGGTTGGAAAGATTACGGGTGGTTATTGTTAACTGATGAAAGTTGAAACTTGGGTTTAAAATATCTCACTCTCCACCGCCTATATATATACTAGAAAAGTACTCGCGCAATGCAGCGAGACACATCTCAATTCTAATATTCTATTTTATTATTTGTCTCTTTTGATGTTATAATACGATTTTATAAAAGAAAGCAATAATGATTTTATCTTTGAATAAAATATAAATATGAAGATATCATAAAATTTTGAAAAAAAAAATATATCAATGTTAATATCAAATCAACTATTTAAAAGTTCTCATTTTTTA